CATAGAAAGACACAATAGGATAACATGAACTAGGTCAGACTGTAGATGCAGTGATTGGTACCGCCCATAGAAAGTTTACTTAGAATTTAGGGAAAAGTATTCACGGATACCAAATCTATTTATGGTACAGTGGTAATATTTCTGTTCATTTCTAAGTGTTGTCGTCAATTGACTTGGTCAGACGATACTTTAAGTATCTCAGCTCTTTGATAGTGGAAAGCCATCGATTGGTTGTGGGGTGGCTCACGTTGGTTATGAATTTTCCAATAATCAGATTTTTTTTGTACTGTACTTGCCCTCTTTATCAATTTCCCCATGGGACACTATCATATTGCACTTGACGGCTCAGGAAAAATACAACCAAGATAGGTAAAATGATCCAAGCTTAGTAAAACCCTGTATTACTAGTTGTATGTTATTAGGGGTATTCATGAAATCATTGGAACTTTTATCTTTAGAAACTCATTTGTGTCACTCATGTTTATATGTCCGGTAAATATTTTAGCCAGACAATAAGCTTAATCTATAAAATCCTGTCTTGACATAACAGACTATTTGTGGCATTTAATCAATAGTTGGGATCTCGTTTATGAACGTTTCTTTTTTCTTTTTACAATAAATAAAAATCCTTCGTTACATTCAATGGAAGTGCGACTATTTCTTTCGTTAATACCATTGGGTTTGTGCAAAGAAATAGATAAAGCCACAAAAATGTTGTTTTATGTTAATGATTAAAACGATTATTTGTAACAAACTTCAGAATGATGACCTGTAAAGTTAAGTTTACTCCGAATGCATTATCAGTAGAGCCTTCTAGTGACTAGCAGAACATGTCTAATAGTTTTTTAAATGATAAACATGAACGCATACGGTTAACGTGAAACTATTGATGGTGGTTGGTATAGGTGGTGGTGATATGTTAAGGCGATGTATAGCTAAATAAAAATTGTCGGTAGAAAATCAACTGACCTCTCTGGGTTTGGTTTGGTTTAGTATTGTTTAACGTCCTATCAACAGCTATGGTTATTTAAGGACGGGACCTCTCTGGAAGTTTACCAGTTTTCTTGAACACCCGTAGTTACAACTGTTTAAACAAAAAATATTGGGTTTCGTAATTTTACTTCAAGCTATGACAGGATAGTATGGAATCTTTTAGAACTAGTGTTTAATTATCAAGCGTATTAAGTTTTAGATTATTCTATGTTAAAGACATACGTCAGTGATTTAAATTTTTAAAAACAATAGGACTTTTTTCATTTGAACATGTTTCAGTTAATGCTTGATTTTAAATGATATTCATGGCATTTGTAGCTTAATATTGTTATGCTTTGTTTTAATATTTCGACGCTCCCTTCAACCTGTAAATCTCTAAATGACTATGTATTGGAATCCTTCATTGTTATTTACCTATAAAGAAAAGATAACCTGTGAACACGCACAATTGGTAAATTTGTATCACAATGATGTTTATCTTTACAAACTATTTAGTAAGTGATGTTCTGACAGTAAAATCAAGTTACTGCTTTACGATACACTGTAACTAGATTCAGGTGTCGACAATTGGTGAGTTGTCCTCAATGATAAGACTTCAGACCTGGGGTGACTGGTCTGGTGATACATATTACTACTTTATTCTTTACATACACAGCTACAATATAACCTCTGTTAGACTGTAAATCCTCTTAGAACATACTGGATATTATAATTGGATTTGGAATCATCTTTGAACATATTGAGTTTGCTGTATGTATAACATAATGTACGTATCATGGCATAAATCAAATATCCCGAGGACAAATTAACCAGGTATACTTATACAGGATAAACGAGTGTACATAGAATTCATATTCAGTATGTGTTAAATACAATTATTGTTTTAAACCGAGTTGTTCGTAATCTTTCTAAATTGTACATTGGAATTTAACAAGGAGATCTACGAGGACATGGATTACTTTACAATCTAGAAAATGTATTCATAATGTAAATCATTTAGATGTATTGACTAAGTATTTCGTTAATTGTGTAAAGGTTGACATAGTGACATACCACAACAAGCGTCCGGAAGAACATTAAAAACATGTTGGGTGTCGATATCACTAAGGGCTCGTGTTTAAAAAAAGGTCAATAAAGCCTAAGTGTAGTGTACCAATGGTAAATCCTATCGGGGACGAGTGTGTGTGCGTGGGTGGCTGGGGGAGTAGTTGACACATATGTAGGTTACACACCGATCTATACATACCCAGTGGCAGTGAATGAACAATAGTGCTAATACACTGTAACGCTTCTACTAGTATACTTAGGCTCGGCTTAACTTTAATCCCACTTGACCGTTACGACACAACCAAACCCGATAAAGTGACCGGATCTATTTTTACCTTCTCTAGATCATTCACCTTGTTAAAACATATATAGTGCCATGTGATTATGATGTTCGTCAATACGGATTTAAAGTTAAAGCTAGCAATGGAACTACACATCGTTAAACTACCAAAGATGATCGTTCTATTATATACTTTATATGTATCCATATCTTCGGTCACGGAGTTTCATTCCGAAACAACTAAATACTATTAAAAAGAGTTGAATGTTAAAACCCTTGTTCCCGTATACATCATTCCAAAGTTGTCTTTTGTTAATACTGTCTGTTACATGTATATAACGATAAGGATATATTTACCTAACAACGGATACGTTCACCTCCATGTCCTCCGCGATCTTTCTGATTGTAATCAGTCAGAGAAAGTCTAAGTCTTACCTACTGAACAGCGTGTACGGTCTTGTTTTCCCGAGATACGTCGATTAGATATTGTCCTCACCTATCATATATCTTACCTGTAAGGCCACCTGTGCGCGGTACATTCGATTTCAATGTTATCTATAACCTTTAATTGAAAATTAAAATATAGGAATGATAAGTATTATTTTTTATATTTTAGTATACATGTTGATGTTGTTTATGTGACTATAGGGATTTTAAAACAATATGTTTTGAGGACAAAGGACGTTGAAAACAAACATATAGAAGACTATTCTGGACAACATGTGGCAGGTGAAGGTTGAAATATACAGTGCAGTGAAGAGGAAACAAGTCACATAACCACATAGTGTGGAACTTGATACACTAATTGTATTGTGTTAACATGTACAGAATACGACGATTTTTCTTTGGTCAATTTGCTTCATATCTTGCTCATAGCACGTACAACTGTGTCAATGATACACCGAACTAGGTACTGTCGTGATTTGTACATTGTACAAGTTTTCGTAATGAAACAATTGTATTTGTACAAAATGAGTTGGTGCACCGTATCCTAAGTCTTCTCTACGTCATTCAATCCATTGGGCCTTGGAACGGGACAAGAGGGTACAACAACTGCATTTTGAAGCTGAAGTATTTTTGCATTAAACGTCTTATGGTTGTAACGATTATGTTCTCCCTTTAAGCTCGACTTTTGCTGTAAAAAATCCTTGCCCCTCGAAATGAGTGTGTGCACCCAGTGCAAAATATCAATAACCTTTTACAATTATGACGAAAAGAAATATGAGTTAGAATTGTTCTTGGTACAATTGTATATAAAGTAAAAGATAACACAAGATATGGCGAACCAACTTATATTATCCTGAGAAGCGTCATACCCATGCACAAGAACACGCTTTCCTGACTAGTATGTGAGTTCAAACACGTATTGTTTGCTTTCGAAAAGTTCACCGACAGCCCCGAACTCTATGAGTATCGGTGACAGGCACTGTCCGACCGTATCTATGGCAGGTTACGGTAGTGACTGTTTACTAGTACTTAGCATCAATAGCCTTTGCTGAACACAATCCTGTTAGAATTTTATTCAAAAGCATACTGATGTGCTGTACAAAACTATAACCGTAATAGCGTCAAGTTCAATATTTCTAACACGAAAGACGTGTTTATTTTGTTGTTCGCGTGTGTGCTATACACCTGTATGTGTATGTCCTATTTTATTACCTGGTTTTATATGTTATGATCTTTTGAATAATTGAGTGACGTACAAAGAGAACCCGCTTTAGACTAATAACCGGCTGCCATAATGAAAATGGGGGCGGATGTTACGCTACGATTTCTCACCCGACATGACTTTTCACCTCGGTGAGAAATCGTGCTGGGGTGAGAAATTGTAACGTTGCAGAACGTTTATTTACAGAGATACTTGGTATATTTAAACAGAAATTATACTGTGTTAAAATTGATTTTTCAATCTGGTATTCACTATTTAGAAGGGAGAACTAGGTTTTTCCGTTCATGTTAATTATCATTATACGATTGATAAATTGATGTTATTATGTGCGGTTTGATCCCTATATATATCGTTGATATACATGAAGCGATCCAATACAACAAAAACTCTGCAAAATTTACATACATGTTCGTTTTTTTTGCAGAAACATGAGCAATGTGACTTTCAACCCGTTTAATAACATAGAACAACTTAGAAGTGATGCTTCATCAGTGGTTGAAAACAACTCCTAAATGGACGCCAAGCGGAAAACCTCTTTTTCTCGTCAAGTGAATTTACCTATCCTTTCCGAAATGTATCCAATCTTTGTTTTATCAATTGTGTGTTAAGCATGGTATTTTTGTCACGCGATGACAATTATGATATCATCGTCGAGAGATATCACCTTCCGTACTGTCAGGTGATATATAACCACTGTTTCGATGTTGTCACCACTTAGCAAACTGACCAGAAGTGGACCATTTGACAACGAGGAAGCTTGTTTCACTGCACAACGAGGCAGGAGAGTGTATCAAGTGACAAGTCAGGTGATTACCAGTATTCCCTGGATGTCAAATGATACAACCTCTTTTCTCGTTGTTAATTGAAACAAGCTTCCTCTTCGTCAAATGAACAATGCTTTGTCTCAATGCCAAAAATAATTAAAAAAATGCCTCGTTAATCACTCCGTCATTTTTTTTGTCTGTTTCTGTCTAACTCAGTGACTTTTTAATTGAAAACAAAACCAAACAATGGTAATTATTTTCTTTTATTAAATATTTTTGTTGAAATGTAACTGACATTTGATCTGTTTACAGACAATATCTACAGCATTAACCATACGGGACTTTGGGTAAGGACACTTTGTTCACGGTGAACGGTATATTGATGAGAAACATTGACCCCGGAGACCCTGGTTCGAATCTCAGTTCGAGCGTTTCCTTTCTGTTGCTCACTGGTCGGGACAACACACAGGTCGGACTGTCTGAGGATAAAGCACAGAGATCAAGATTCGTTTAATTTAGATTGATGGTTCAAATGTAATAAGATCTTTTAAATAACATTATATGTTTTATTACCCAGTTTTAGTTCATATGTTTAATCTTGTTTCAATATGACATCAGCAAAACGTAAAGCCCCGAAATAATACGTCGAACTCAGCCATTTAGTTTCACATACACGTGCTATATCTGTGATCAAGGTGTGTTGTAGATAACAATAGATTAATCAGAGTTGAAGAGTGCAGGATCTAATCGTTCACTAACCTTTCTTTGGAGGATTTTTCGGAACGTTGCGACGGTTTGTAGTGTCTATGATGTTGTATGGTATCTTGTCGAACCGAAAACACATTCGGAACGCCTCGTATTTTGTCATTTTGAGTGTAAGGTTATGGTTTTGGCACTTATGCCACTGGATTGTTCCATTACGACAGATAGGTTCCACCTCGATAATACCGCTTCTGGAATGTAAGAATAGGTCAGGATGTACATGTTAGTATTCGACTGATACAATAAAAACGTGATAGTATACTATCTTTCTGTAACAACAAATATTCATATACTGTTTTTAAATACCTGAATCCAAAACACGACTTTTCCCAATCTAGTATTGCGAGTATTATAGCGTATATATAACTTTGTCTGCTCATATTGTGAATCAAGGTCTACTGAGGGTTAACGCTCCTTACAATCACTTTCGATGGGAATTGAAAGTTCGTTTCATTGAATTTTAAAGGACGACGATTCTTGGTAGAAAATGATTATGTAGAAATGACAACAGCTTTTTCTCTTCTCCCACTTTAGAAATATGAATGTACAATATATTATTTTGTCAGCACAATAGGAATTCCTGGATACACACAATACTGATGACAGTACACTAAGTTACATCAATGGCAGTGCCTAATCGACGAGGGTGTGTTAGAAAAGGAAGCCTCTTCTTTTTATTTGTTTTATTCTAAAGGTATTGTGGCTAATCCTGAAATTGAGTTTTAGGGCTTAACTTCAAAACCTTTCTTTCTCGCTCTCATTTGCAAACACTGATATCAAATCGAAAACAATGTTAAACTACTTGGTGCTGAAATGGATGGTCTTTTAAAGTTTGTAACACATATTTCTAGCTTTAGAGAGGCACCAGGGCAGATCACAGTGACAGAGATATAAAGAAACGTTTTATGTTGGACATGATGCTTATCTATAAATCTGGTATAATATCACATTAATGACTACTCTCATTTTATTTAGCATTTCTGAAGCAAGTCTACTAGGAACAAAATGGGAGACAGCCATGAGTTTTGTTTTAGATAGATTAGTTTGACTTTCACTCACTAATGTCACAAACCAACGATTGTTTCTTACATATCACTCATAAAAACGATGGAATATGAGTTTTTTTTTAAAACGTTCAATGTTTCTTATGAGTATTTGAAAACAGTCACAGCTGAAAAATACATTATTTCAACTTGAGGCAAGAAGAGACTGAGAAGTTCTTCAGGTGAGAGCCACTCGATAGGGACAATATGTATATCTGGGTGAGGCCGCTCGCAAATTGACCTATCTATCCGACGACTGATGTTAGATACACAGTAGATAGCTAAAAGGAATTCCGTAGGCGACTCTATATAGGGGATGGCCTCCACTGTATACATTCCAGGTGTGCAACATATTTAGAAAGTTGGACGGTTCCATACCTGGTACCTATACATTGTTTTGTACAGCGGGCGTGTATGGGGGAAACCATATCCCAATCCACACTGATTTCTAAGCAATACACTGTACATTGTACATTTCTTATTTGTGATGTTTTGATTCAACTGAGTATTACAAATGTCCCTAGACTATTTCCTAGTACTTTAGTGTAAACTATCCAGATACATGTAGCACATTGGTAGAGACTGGCCCAACCACCTGTTGCTTACACTTGACTTGTGATATATATCTTCCTATTCGTTAAAATTTGCTTAATATCCTTTCTATTAACTACTAAGTATTGTTATCTTTTGTAATTAAATACGAATCAATGTAATAATCTTATTGAACTGATCTGTATGCATTTACGTATTATAATGCGACAATGTTATCTCAACCTGTCAATTATGCTTATTGTGCATGTATTCCCAGGACTAGGTAATGTATCTCCCAGAAGTAGGTCATGCAATTCCCAGAACTATGTCATTTATCGCCGAGAACTAGGTCATTTATCTCCGAGAACTAGGTTATGTTCATGTATCTCCCAGAACTAGGTCATTTATCTCCGAGAACTAGGTTATATTCATGTATCTCCCAGGACTAGGTAATGTATCTGCCAGAAGTAGGTCATGCAATTCCCAGAACTATGTCATTTATCTCCCAGAACTAGGTCATTTATCTCCCAGAACTAGGTTACATACATGTATCTCCCAGAACTAGATTATGTATCGCCCAGAACCAGGCCATGCATTCGGTAATATTATCCCACACTTTGTGTGCCATTTTCGTCTACATTATACTTGGCGAAATTGCGTCGTCCACAAAGATCAAAATGATATAAACTGAGGGTAAAATCTTTAGAAAGATTGAGTTTCTCGTTGACAACATCTCTGTTGAGTTCGGTGGTAATATTTTCAAGCAGATTGTAGGCATTCCTTTGATAACACACCTTTTCTAACTTAATTTTGTTTTTATACGAGTCTGAATGTATGAAAGAGCTTATCAGAGTTAGTAAAATAAACATTGCCAGGTTAGATCCTTCGATTTCGCTTTCTAATATATCGGCGATAGGCCATCTTTAAATAGCCTACTGAACTTGAAACCCAGGTCACTTCAGACTCTTTTTCTCCATCCGATTTCCGCGATCTGCACTTACAACACAACCAACTGTGACGGCTTGTTACAAAGCTTGAAGAAATGCGGAACAATTTCGATTTTCCAAAAGTGAACTTTCCTTTTTTTGATAGTAGCATCCCTGTTTCCCCGACCTACGGTGTTACATGTCGCAGTTGATTTGGTATTCAAGAGCTTGCTCCGAGTATCATGATTTCTATGATAAATGTTGACCACTAACCGACAAACGTACGACTCAGAGTTGCCAAAGATGCAGATTGATGAACACTACAGACATCTTTTGTTTTGAGTTTTTGGGAAATGGCTTTGATTACATGGCGGATGTTATCGAAGAAAAAGAAGACGCTTACTCTTCATGAAAACCTGTTCTTAATTTCCTTGTTCTTTTCAATGGTATCCATGTAGTTCTTTCTAATGTGACATAGTGTATCAATGTTGAGTTTGTTTTACGATACTGTTGACACTTTGGTATACCCTAGCTTTAAACTGTACCCTATGTTTGCATGCTTGTTTAACCTTGTTGTCTATTGTAATCATTTGACGAAAAGTAGTTTTTCGTATATATTGGAATGAGTACAGAAAACGTATCGACACGTTTAATACTCCTAGTAAAATCATTAACCATGTAGTAAGGTGTGGTGTTAAAACGATCATACATTGCAAGCGCTTCATAAGGTTTTATAAAATGACGAATACGAAGAAAAGGTCCATCCATTAAGCATACAATTAGGTTTTACAACATTTCCAAAAACATTTAAAGTGGCTGAAAGTATTTTAAATAGAACTTTGACCATGGTATGGTCGTAATGAACGCAACTGATACTTCTGTCAGCAAGAAACAGATATACGTGGAGGTAAAGAATACATAAAATATAGCCTACACGCAAAGGCTATAAAAGGGAGTAGATTACTGCTGTATTACCTACCCAGACAGCCACGTGTTACACTCCTCGGCATACAGGGTATCATTACATAGACCTGCTGACGAACGGTCTGGTCGCCATACCAACAACACCAATGTCGTCACAACTTTACAGATACACCAATGTCTGTTCATTCTGTGGTAGTATAACTATACTTATTAATCTCATTTAATACCCGAACCACACCAGGAGGATCTATCTCTCGTATATCCTATAATTTTCTTGTCCTCGGGGTAAACATCATGTATCCATATGCGATAAATTTGTCGTTTTTGATTGATAAGAGGCGTGTGCCCACAAGGACTGCGGCACGTGCACAACAGCTAGTGTCCTTATATCAATTTTTCTGCCTCTTCATAACTTGATTATATACTGTGAAATGTTCAGGCATAGTAGTAAGTAATTACTGAAGTCGCAGCCATCTGCTCCCTCTTGAAGTGTTTTGCACTTCGCAATTAAGGATTGCAGCAGTGTTAGTTAAGGTCAAGAAATAAACATGTTGTCCTAAAATTGTTCAAACTATTCATAAACATTCCTAGTCTGCAACCGATGACGTAGCTCCATTTTCATAAAAAAAACAATTGTTCTTATTTCAAATTTTCTTCCTTCAAATCATTCCTATTACATCGTGATAACTATGAGAAGAAATTACGAATTTAACAAAACCATGACCTTATAAAGATACATAAGTGACATCATAGAGATCCCACTAGTTATCAACTTTAGCTGTACACCTGTACTGTTCCACTACTCTCTATCAGATTCCTGGTGTTATGCTATCGAGGAAAGAGCGTTATATTATTATAACAACTAAACAAAATGTGCAAATCGTTGTCAGCTTTTTTTCACTTCAGTTCCGCTTGATTATAAACAGGTTCAAAGGAGTGAAAGGTTATGCATATATACTTGTACAATAATATAAAAGCTAAAATGTTAAATAATTATGTACTTGTACAAGAATATAAAAGTAAGAATGTAATGTAATTATGTACTTGTACAAGAATATCAAAGTTAGAATGTTAAATAATTATGTACTTGTACAAGAAAATAAATGTAAGAATGTTGTACAATTATAATTTGTAAATTTAAGTGAAGGTTGATTTGTTATATAAGTATATACATGTTCATATATGTAAAGATTAATATGTTATATATTTATGTACTTCTACTTTTAGGCAAAGGTTTTTATGTTATACATTTATATACTTCTATGTATAGGTAAAAGTTTATGTGTTATAAAATTATATACTTCTACTCATAGGTAAAGGTTGATATGTTATATACTTTTATCACATAGTGTACTGTGTTATCCAGCGCCAGAGGCTCGCTAAATTGAAAAATTCTTAGACTCGTTTCATAGATCTCGTATGAAATATAAACTCATGTAAAATCCTATATATCTACTTCCAGATATTGGTAAATGTTAATTTATACGTATACGTAGGTACTGATTTATTCATACACACCTGTTTTGTCACAGTTTTAATCACAGTTTTAATGTCACGTGATGGATATAACGTGTTAAAAGGCTGTCTTTTTTTTCACCCAGCAAAACTGTTAAAAAGAGAGTAAGATTAAAAGTTCAGAACAGACATATATAGTGAGCATGTGTCGACACCCCTGTGGGGACCCATCTCGTATCAATTAGAAATCAATGATTTATCGCCCTTAGGTAAATCAAATGTTTTGAAATATGAATATATTTTCTCCCACCCTTCACAGATGTGTCTCCCGTTTTAGCCGGGAAATAGCAGCTTGTCACCCCCTAAGGGGAGATAGCCTCGTGCCGATTAGCACGTATTCAATTGTGACGTCATTAAAATGTGTCATCGGTAACATTGTGACGTCATCAAAAGTGAATGACGATATGCATACAGCACATGTGTTTTTGGTTTACAAACATGGCAGGCTACTGTCGGTGGAGCTGTGACTGAAATAATAGGATGGGAGACCAATAATCATCCCCTACCTTGAGGGTGTTACAGAGAAATCTCCAACCCTCGGGGTGATTTATTTGGTTGTCTAACCCTCGGCAGAGCCTCGGGTTAGACAACTTAAAAACATCACACCTCGGGTTGGAGATTTCTTTGTCACACCCTTAAGGTAGGGGAAGATTCTATTCATCTACAATATATTGACGATATTTTTTTATACGTCAAGGCCTAGCTGCGACATAAATAAACACTGATTTTCCTGTCTTAGAGACTTTTGTAAAATACTTGCTATTTTTTAGTGTAGCAGAACTTTAGTGGGTCGATCGCCGAAGACCAGGTGGATCAATTGGTGGAGAGACCGTCTGAAGTTCTGAGGCTCCCAGGTTTGACTCCCTGCAGTCTGGCCGTGTAATTTTTCTATTCTGTTACATTTGGCGCTCAACGAAACATACCCACGGAAGGTTGTATATGATCTCGTGTGTCTTCAGGGTCGGAGATTTTGATGAAAAGGAAGGAATGCAGCGGAACTGGACTGGGTAGATTGTCGACGATCGATTGGTGGAGAGACCGTCTGAAGTTCGGAGAGTCCCAAGTTCGAGTTCCTCGCAATGGCCCTCTCCTTTTATCATTATTACTTTAATCTGGGTTTCTTTCTGTTGTACATGGGATACAGATTATGGTAATTAAAAACCCAGAAACAAATAATTCTATTACATTTATCAATCGTCAAATCCTGAAAAGTTCTACAAAGACTATTTGTGTTTAAATATTTTAATTCACATATTGAATGTGTGTTAGCCGTAATTTTCCTATACGTATGGCAACATAATTACTCTATTAGTCCGATGCACGCTTTCCTATATCCCATAATGATATTTTGTAGATCATTTTCAAAAGAAACAACAATTAAATATCGGCTCTTCAAAGGTCCATGTACCGATAAGACTGCGTACTTACAGTGTATAAAAGCACCGAAACTGCTCGTCATTCCGTCATTCTATAGTCGGAACTTTTTATCGAGCTATACATTTGTATCGAATCGAATGCGCCGATGTGTTGTTCGGAACACAGTACGGATTCCGAATGGATGACTAAAAATAGCGTTGGGAATTTCTAGTAGAAAATGAAAGCCAGCAACACAGAGAGAGGTACGTAAGTATCATAGAAAAGGCGATACGCCGACATACTTCTAAATATAAAATCACATTACAATACCAAAAGTGATATATACTTCCACGTGATAAAACTGCGACTAGGCTAGTGACAGTAATTCTGTATGTCACATCGGTTATTAGTTATAGGTGTTGGCAAGTTATTACTGATAAGGCATCATTATATATATATAAATTAACCATACGTTGTTTTAATATTCTAAGCCATGTAGGTTGCTTATATAGGTATTAATGACCCGTATCTATTGACTTGGATCCATTTTTATCGGCAGACACTATATATCCGTCTCTACTTTCACTTTGTTCTACCTTGTGGTATGTGCTGTGGTTCAAAGGAAATCATCAGTAGTGGAGGTTTCATAGCTACACATTATTTAGGTTGAATGTCAATCTCTTTGTGTGTTATCTTTATAACCGTCAATTCCTCTCAAACGCTTCCTACTTTCACATTGACTTATTACTAACGTCTAAACGGGAAAACCAGATCAGAGGAAGCAGTTTTTAATTTGTTACTAAAGAAAAATCTATTTTTTTTTATGACACATCCTAATTTTGTTTATCTCCGAAAATTGTGAGGTGCCAAGAGAGAAAAATATACTAAAGGAAGTATATGTTTTGAGAAATTGACTCTAGAAATGGAAAAGTTTGGTAAATATTTAAAGTAGCTAAAACCTATTAGATCACTATATGCAAATATTGAAAAAATAGCAAATATCGTTTTAAATAAATGTTTCGAAGCTGTCAGTTCATCAAGTGAGTAAATGAAATTGAAACAGGCACATGAGATTTTTCAGAGGTTATCAAAATAAGGTTAAACTCTTTAGAATCGATAAACTATTATGAATTATGAATATTTGGTACTAAAATTAACCTATCAAGGATGTAATCCTCTGAGAAGTCAAGACATTCCTGTATGAAGCGTTTTTTTCTTGATGCTTGTTTGGAAAAGATTCAAAAAGATTTATATATCCGTGTGTTCGTATTTTACCTATGATCGGTCAAAGGTACAAAGTACCAATTTACCATCACACGTGATTTTAGGTGATTGTTCGTGTTTTACCACTTGCAGAACAAATTCATACAATCTCTTCTAAGTGTGGTATCAGATATGTATGAATATTTGCAGAATTGATAAAGAATAATATTTTAAAAATTTCTGAAACGTATTCTTTTAACTCAGAAAAACAATTTAAATTACCCATACCATAACAAAGTGCTTATTTCTTCAACACATTTTGTAGATTTAACGCTTGATATCAAAAGTTCTGCTACGAGACATTTTTCATATTTAATAAATTAAAAAATGTGTTTTTCTTTCTAAAACAGACATTGAATTGGGGGTTCTTGTGCTTCGTTTTGTGCCATTATGATTTCCGTTGTTTTTCACCTTTTTCGGAGTCAAAAATCAGAAGTGCTTCAGCTACACTAAATATGTAAAATGCTTATAATGTACCGTGTTCCACTTTGTTAGAATTATTTTCATCATTTTGAATATTATGAAGTTGTACAGCAAAAATGAACTTGCTACAATAAAAAAGTCGACACAATTACAATTTAAGTGATCAAACTAGTGTCAACACAAAGGAGTAATTGTGGCCCTTCGTGAAGCGCAAATAATATTCTTTTTAAAAAATGGCCGCCGAATTAGTCATTTTAATTTTGTAAAATTCTTGTAAAACAGTTCTACAAACACAGACAATTAGTTTTTTTGAAACTTTTTGTTTGCTTTTAAAATTGATCATAATTTTTGAAATATTACAAAAACAAAAACGAGATTGAACGTGATTTAAACCTCAGAAGGGCACATCCTAAATAGCACATTATTAACCCATATTTGACAGAGTAGTGTAAAGTGGATAGCTGTTTTCCAGGCTCAAATAATTCAACAGCGGAAAGTTACACGTTTATAGCTGGTATTTAATCATGAGTTGTAATTTTTCCTTACTTTCACTTTCGGTACATGTTTCAGTACAGTAACAACAGACTAATACTAGGAAGTGTTGGACTCGGATTGATACCAAATGCTGACAGTGTATTGTTTATATCTGCCAGTTCCCATTCCCCAACGAACTAGTGTCAATAGATCATATCATTTTATATACAATTAATCCCCTTCCTCAGGAGTAAAAACTATGTTTTCAGAAAACAAGAGAAAGAGATTTTACAGATTATACAAGCAATATACTTAAGTCAATAAAAGTGACTATTAACACTACAAAGTGAAAAAGACCAGGTATTCAGGAAGGGAAAGCAGTTTGTTTTTTGCTCCATCGACGACTTGATAACCTCTTGAATAAATTCTACCATACAAAAACGAAAAACATGTCGGCCAAGAGAGGGGCACATTTTTTCCAATGAAAATCCCAACAACCTGTTGCAAGTTCATGCCATCAAATTTATTTTGGAGTTTGTCTTTTTTCCGAAAAGATGTTCCAAAAATTTATATATACATACATTGTATCTACATTTACTTCGCACATTGTATCTACATTTACATCGCCGCTCACCTTCCTTTGAAATGGACCTATAGAACCAATACAAAGAGTGCGCTCCTTCAGTGTGGCATGAAGTAAGGTAGTTTATCCAGTGAAAAGGTCAATGTTCTGAGAGCTCAAGATTGATCAATAGATGTTTCGTTATCAAAATATTCAAATTCAAAAACTTCCACTTTAGATAGGATTTTAATCAGATTGCCACCGGAGTATGCAGTGTCGTAAAACGAATGTAAGTCTGATTAAATGATACCAAGAATGGTAGAAAGAAGTCTGAATAAAGGCGTTGGTGAACAACAACTGTAGCATACTGCCACAAAACATAGGGTTCTTGTGTAGTTTCGGAACCCAATACTAACTAGTCTGTTATCATTAACTAGTATACTGAACGAGTGTAATGCAGAATATGTAAATATCTAATATTTCATCTTTAAAAATGGAAAATGAACTAATTAAGTTTCCTAGGTTGTTATCACGTTTCCTATGTACGTATAAATACATGTCAATAAAGTCTGATTTGTTGATCCTCGGCAAGCAGTACCAGTTATTTTTCCATTCCATCCACCGAGTAATAAAATTTCAAATTAAAGTACTAAATAGTGACTGATGTTTTTTCAGATTATGGGAGATAGACTCGATGATGAACCTAACATTCCTTTGCCGAGAAACAAACTTAGTACTCAAAAGGTAGCCGGAGAGACAGAACCAGAAAAAAGTCACCATTCCGCGTCAAACATACCGTGGATACGTACAGGTTCCAAGTCTGTCCATATCTACCCTTCACAGGCACAGAATGACAGGTCAATTCCAGATAAAAGGTCTGTTTCGTTGCAACAACCGGTCAAAGCCGAGCCGGAAAAAGTCTTGACGAACATTACATCTTCAAACATCAACACTGATCTAGAACCATCTTTGACTGTTAACAACCTTCCGTTTCACAACCAGTTCACGTCTAAGCGGCAAAGAGGAGATTCAAACGAACCGACTGACCATACGGTCCCTACTAGTCAGGCACACACAATAGAACACGATGCACGACCAAAAGAAGATATTACACGTGTGTTGGGCTCAAATGATGTTGCCGTGGAACCCAGTTCTGTGGACAACCATGAGCATGCCAAACCTACACAGGACGTTTCTGACTATGACGTCACTGTGGATGACCAGTCGACATCTTTGATCATGTCTAAAGCGGGTCTTCAGACTCTACTGGAAAAGGCGAGTCTTGATTTTCTACCACCATAGATAAAACATTTATTTTTTATTCGCAACTTAACTTCTTTCTTTTTCATCATCTGGGACAAGAATGTAATATTTATTTATTATATGGTAAATCTCATATGAAGTGTACCAATACTAACAGATACTTTTGTGGTATGACATGTTTACAAACAAGCACTGTAGCATCACGAGGAACGATATGGCGATGACGTCATAAATACGTAAAACATGTTTTCCTTTTGCATTTTCTAAATACGAAATGTGCCTCTTACGGTTGTTTGGTGGCACATCTGACATGTTCAGAAATAATTGTATACTGTCTCAACTTATTAAAGGTCCTTACATTAAACCCTGGTGTTATGGAGCGCGTGTGACATTTCCTATTTATTCTAATATCATTAAGTCGCGTCAACGTTTTGATAAATATAAATCCTTCCTTAGTTCCAGGATTTCTTACAACAGGCTAACGACTTACAGAGGAGGAACGAAACCTTTCTACACAGCATTAGACATGACGATAGGTAAACGGAAAACGCCCTGCATAACTATCTTATAATGTTAAAACCACACACTATGATGTCAAAAGGAACAATGCGATGGCGTTGTCCTGTTTGGTCGTAATAATGAAAATAGTTTTGACTAAAAATGTCGGTTTCAATTAGTTTGTTAAGCATTTGATAAAGATATCAAACCTATTTCATTTCCATATTCTGTATACAAAATCATTGAAACTCGTTTTAATTATGCATCTCTTCGAAATCTATTTTTTTTAGATCACTTATATCCTTAAAACGAAAACATTCATCTTTATCAATATGAAGTATTTAAGTGATAACACCAATCTTACCACAACGAAACCTTCCATAACAGCTGTTGTGCCCTGCAGCAGATTTGCATGTTCATATAAAGTAACGATTATTGACATTTGTTACAGAACAAGCCGTGATGACTTGCAGCGACGGCTAACTGGTAGGTTGTTTTCTTTATATAGCCCTTAGAGAGCAAAGAGTATGTTAAAACAGTCTTGTTCTAGAAGATGAAGAACACTTCTTCATGTGTGGCTATAATGCACAGCTGAGAAAGGACTATTTAAGTAAATATATTCAAAACTATTCTATACTAGACACAAATACTTTAACACATATTTTATCTTCTGACAATATGCAACTTATACTTGACTCGTGCTTATATGAGCAATAAAGTTATTGAATTGTTATAAATATGGCGATACACACGTGTAATACAGCTTAAATGCGCTGCGATTGGTTAAACCCGGGAGAACATAGTCCTACAATACTGCAGGTGCTTCAATTTAAAATACCACAGTTTAGATAATATCTAATTATATTTCAATTAATTTGAAATGCTTATTTTGAGTTATTTTCATTGTATTTAATTACAATTTACATTATTAAAAAAATCTTGGACTAGTTTGCAATGAGTGGAAATACAATACTATGATTGGAGTACTTTGGTTTTGACCTATATAGAATCAGTTAATAACAGAAAATTGTGTTTGATTTTTTTCTCAAATTTTGAATGTTGTATGATGATTAGAATCTTACATTCATGTGAATGTGATATCGAATTTGTTAAACGAGTGCATTAATTATATATGACACGAGCCTGACGTAAGATGATCTGTTCATGTGTCGGTGACTCTATGTTGGTTTAATGTAAGGTGAGGGGAGTGAAAGGCTAGATGAATGCGTTTTTATGTTAGACAATGTACAAATGGCGGAGAGTAACAATTTTACCGATACAAGATGTTTTTATCTGTAAGATGTAACAGATTCCATATATGTAGGATGAAACAGATAGGATATCTCAAACACAACAATTTGTTTTATTTGTAAGTTATATGCATTTGAGATTATCTATAAATGCCAGAAATCTAATCTACTCCTGATCTTTTAAGAATTACAAACAGTTACAGTAATAATAGTTAAATACAATACATGAATCGTTACAACGTATACCTGTACTATACTAATGTATTAATTAGTTGTTAGTTAGTTGTTAAAGCATACTAACTTGTTTTGATATGCGTTTTAAAACTTAATTATTTCTTTCAGAAACGAAAGATAATTTGACACACTTAAAAGACCGGATCCAAGATGGCGATAAAGAATTACGATCCTTGGAGGAAACGGTTGGACAGGTGGTTCGCAGAGTAGACGGTCTGTGTGAGGCGTTTGAAAGAAAAAGCACCGCACAGAGTGCAATAGTCTTCCACGGAGATGGAGACAAACATTCACACGGACATAGAGACAAACATTCACGTCATCGTCAGGATAAGACGACCGATAGAAGAGATCGAAAACAATTGACCAATCAAAAAGACCAACACGAAACGACTCATCGAGAAGAAGACAACAACAAACTGGACACCGACGACGGTCAGCCTCGTGACGAACAATTAGGTCGAGGAGATGACAATAGCCACCATAAATACGACACAGGCTCTAGACGACAGACAGAATCCAAACCTAATGATGGAGATTCTCCCTCAAATGTACATATATCCACTGACATCAGCGGACTGCATGTAGAGTCGAATAGTCCACATAGATCTGTACATGTAGCAGATGAAGGCGAAACGAGACGTCAATCTGCTTCGTCTTCTTCTGAAACAAGCAAAGATATTAGAAAACCAAAGAAAGGTGATGTAAACTCGGCGATAAGTACTGACGTTCACGAACGAAACAGAATCAATTCTAATGTTCCTGAAATGAATGAACCTCATGTTGATGACGTGAAACGAAATTCAAGGGCAAAGTCTAAGTCGAAATCTGGGGACAGAAGAAGGTCGAAGTCGATGTTAAAAAAGGAATCTTCAGTAAGCCGTGAACAGAAAGTAACGCAGCTAAGGTCAAAGCCGGGACAGTTAAAATGTTCCGAACTAGGCTTTAAATATAGGAAAACGAAAGTGAGGGGGGATAACAGGGTGAAGGTTATACGTCATGAAGTCGTCTTACGTGGTGGCGCCACATGTGATCTGGTAGACAGCAACATTAAGTTTAGAAATCCTAGAAAGGAGACGAGTACCAACTCAGAAGGTGCAAAATACGCATCACATAAGTAAGTGATTTTGTTCTGATTTATTCTGCAATAAAAGTGGATGTCATCTACTCATAAATATACCAGTTTTTCGTCATTGATTGATGGAGTAAATCTATAATATTTTTTTATCTCATTGTTTGTCGTATATACTTGTTAGTTCATTTTTAACAAAATTATTTCGATTTGTTTTTATGATTTTTTCAGTCCATTCTTTGACGTACAGGGTGATTTTGACGCTTTTGACCTACACTCGGATGTGTCGGCGCTTGGATGTAAGTTTCTTTAGAGATAAAGTACTCACGAAAAAGACAACTCATTAGTGAATAATTCTATAGTTTAAGATAACTCACCGGTAAACAATCCCGAGTTGCTCGACTCTTTGGTAAACTAACCGTGAAGATGAAGCGTTTGAATAGGTTGTTCTGATATAACGAATATTCTACCTGCTGTGCATCTTTGACAGTTTGCACGCGATATTCCTTGTTTTTGTTATTGACATTTCTCTAAAATACCTAAATTTGTTCGAATTTTACAGTAGATGCGATGAGTATGACAGAGGCCGATATTACGGCGTCAAACAATTGGGTATCGAAAGCTAACGAGGAACGACGAAGAGGTACAGTAAAATAATCATTTTCACAACAATGTAACACACCAGCAGATAAAGTAAAATATATGTAAGAGCGTCAACACACCACAAAATAAAGTACAATGTTAAATATATATCACGGTGTATAAACATTGGCTGATAAAAAAAAACAATATATAACAGCGTCAATACACCTACAGATAAGGAACAATGTAAAATATATATAAAGAATTGTACAAACCACTGCGTCAATATATACCCCAGGTCAACACACAAAAAGATAAAAAATAATATACTTCAGCATCAAAAAACCATCAGATAAAGTAAAATACACACCACGGCGTCAACACACCATCAAATAAAGTAAAATACATACCACATTGTCAACACACTAACAGATAAAGTAAAATACATACCACAGTGTCAACACACTAACAGAAAAAGTAAAATACATACCTCAGTGTCACCACACTAACAGATAAAGTAAAATACATACCACGGCGTCAACACACTAACAGATAAAGAAAAATACATAACACATTGTCACCACACTAACAGATAAAGTAAAATACATACTACACTGTCAACACACTAACAGATAAAGTAAAACACATACCACAGTGTCACCACACTAACAGATAAAGTAAAATACATACCACAGTGTCAACACACTAACAGATAAAGTAAAGTACATACCACAGTGTCACCACACTAACAGATAAAGTAAAATACATACCACGGCGTCAACACACTAACAGATAAAGTAAAATACATACCACAGTGTCACCACACTATCTGATAGAGTAAAATATAAACTTCTGCATCAACACTATCAGATGAAGTAAAATACATCCCACGTCGTCAACAAACTAACAAAGAAAGTAAAATGCATACCACGGCGTCGACACACTAACTGATAAAGAGAAATAAATACCACAGTTTAATCACACTTACAGATGAAGTAAAATATATACCAAAGTGTCAACACACTAATTGATGAGGTAAAATACATACCACAGTATCATCACACTACCTGATAATGTAAAATAGTTACCACGACCTCAACACACCAACAGATAAATTAAAATATAAACCACAAAGTCAGCACACTTACAAATAAATTAAGATATATACCACGGCGTCAACACACTAACAGATGAAGTAAAATATATACCAAAGTGTCAAGACACTAACTGATAAAGTAAAATATAAACCAAAGTGTCGACACACTAACAAATCAAAGAAAATTAACACCACACCGTCAACATACAGATAAAGTACAATATATATCACAGTGTCAACACACTAACAGATAAAGTAATATATATACCACAACGCTAACACACTAACACATAAAGTAAAATATATACCACAACGTCAGCATACAAACAGATAAATCAATATATTTACCACAACGTCATCAAATTAACAGATTAATTTAAATATGTACTACAAAGTCAACACACTAACAGATAAATTTGAAATACACTTACAGATGAAGCAACATATATATCCCAACGTCGACACACTAAGAGATAAAGTAAAGTATACATCATATATTAGACCTATACTAGAATATGCAGCTGTTGTTTGGGATAATTGTTCACAAATTCTAAGAAATCTCTTAGAGTCAGTCCAGCTAGAGGCTACAAGAATAATAACAGGACTACGTAGATGCACCCCCCACAATATCTTGTACAAAGAATTAGGCTGGGTTCCTCTTGAAAGTAGGAGAAAACAACATAACATGATGCTTATGTACAAGATTATGAATAATGAAACATATTATCTGAAAGAAGTCACTGAGTCACATTTTCATGATCCCACACTAGCTAGATATCCCCTTAGATCAGTTAGAATATGTGATCCTCCTCTTTGTCGAACTGCTAACTATTCTAATAGCTTTTTCTCCATCCATGTTTAATGAAATAAATAATATCGCTTCAGACCTTCAAAAATATCGTTCCGCCTATCAGTTCAAAAAGTTAATAACACCTATTCCAAATTCAAACACAAGAACAATATATGTCTTTAAGTTTTTAGGAAATAGAAAAACTAATATTATTCTCTGTCAGTTGAGAAATGAGGCCATTAAGCTAAATAGTAACCGTCAGAAAGATTATCTTACTGAGTCCTCTGCATGTTCTTGTAGTTCTAGATTTGAAACAGCATCTCATTACTTCCATGATTGTATCAAATACACTGAAGATCGTATTGTACTTTTTCAGAATATATTCCATGAAACTCACAACCATTTACAAGTAGATGTCATGCTAAATGGTTGTGAGAGATGTGATGAAAATGAAAACAAACATATTCTCCTATCTATATCCAATTACATTTTAAGTTCTAGAAGATTCAGGACATTTAACTTCAATTTTGAATGAAATTTTACATTTTATTTATTTACACTTTATTTATTTACATTTATTTTTTTCTCAATGTATTTCTTCTGATTTCCAGAAATGGTACATGGATATTAATAATAATGTATTTCCTATTTGTCTTCATTGTTTATTTTTAGATATTGTTAGTGAGGGGGGCTGGGGTTCAGAAGACCAGTTATACTATTTTATTAAAAAATATTGGGAAACAACTACATAAATAAGAATATAAAGCTTTACAACATGTTAATTATATATCTTACCCGTGTTTAATATGCATAAATTAAACTATTTGATGGGATTGAATTTCCAAACTCATCAGTGGATGGCCTTGTGTGATACAATGGACTTTTTGGCCTGTATCTGTTGGGTGCGGTAATTTAATCCCATCAAATGTTTATACATGCAGCTCCGTCAACAAGTAATTTTTATTTTCTCTTCATAATATGTATAAAGATATATACATTTGTATATAATACAGTCTGAAGAATCTCCTAGAAGAGATGAAAGTACTAAAGACTTGTTGTTAAGAATTTTTCTTTTTATAATATATATATTATATGTCTTTTCGGTATCAAAATAAAAGGTTCGAATTTAAACCATTAGATTCAATTATAATAAAAATGAGTATTAGTAGTTGTTTCGCCTAATTTGATTATTAATTTGATAACACCAACTTGTTTATATGTGTTTGTATGTGTTCTAATGTCTATGTCTATGCTTGCACCACTGTCTGTTACTATGTTTGGAAAGGGCTTAAATAGGCTATGCCTGCTGCCCAATCCATTTGTCCTTTGATAATAAAATGTATTGAAATTGAAGTCAACACACTAACAGATGAAGTGAAATACATACCACAGTGTCAACACACTAACAGATGAAGTGAAATACATACCACGGCGTCAACCCACTAACAGATGAAGTGAAATACATACCACGGCGCCAACACACTTACAGATGAAGTAAAATACATACCACGGCGTCAACACACTAACAGGGGAAGTGAAATACATACCACAGTGTTACCACACTCACAGATGAAGTGAAATACATACCACAGCGTCAACACATTAACAGATGATGTGAAATACATACCACAGTGTCACCACACTAACAGATGAAGTAAAATACATACCACAGTTTAAACACACTAACAGATGAAGTAAAATATATACCACGGCGTCAACACACTAACAGATGAAGTAAACTATATACCACGGCGTCAACACACTAAGAAATAAAGTAAAATACATACCACAGCGTCGACACACTAAGAGATAAAGTAAAATGTATATCACAACGTCAACACACTACGAGATAAAGTAAAATATATACCACAGTGCCAACACACTTACAGATAAAGTAAAATATATTTCACAGCGTCGACACACCAACAGATGAAATAAAATGTATACCAAAAAGTTAACAAATCAACAGATTACTTAAAATGTACGGATGTATATCACAGCGTCAACACACCAACAGATAAATAGAGGTTACACAACGAGTGGTTGTTGAATATGGTATGTATTTCACTCGAGTTAATTAATTTTCAAAAGTTACAAAAGACACGAGCTTTAGAGAGTGTCTTTCTGTAACTTTTGAAAATTAACACTTTTTGTTTACAAATTTAATCATTTTCAAAATAAATGTTTCGGCAACGACTTCGTACAAAAATGAAATATATGAACGACTTTAAATATTGAGAGTATGTTATATTGCATTAATTGATATAAATTAACCACGGACTATATACGGCTAAGCATATCGTACGAAGTCTGCCTCCCGCCAAGTGATGAAGACGAACTAATCGTTGTCAATGTCCAAAACCATAGGCCTGGGACGGTTCTTCGTGAGGTTCTATGGTTGACGTTTATAGTAAGAGTTCCGCCATAGACAGGCCCTCCAAATATTGATAACGGGACATGGGGAGAACGAAATATTTTCCAACACTGTTACAGATCTTGTTTGGGTTTCACAGAGACATTTATTACGTCTCCGGGTTTCACGACCTGAACAGGCGACGGTTTGGCTTCGAAACGATATCGAACGTCTGTAGCAATTTTGCCTGAAACTAGCGATCAAATCTTTAAGCATCATCTTCTTTTGGTATTGTCTTAATAACCCCCTTTTCCCATCACATAACCTCACAAAAGTCACCAACATTTGAAGGATGTTGACAGCAGACGACGTAAACTAAACAGCACGCGGCAAAAAGCGCGTGAAAAAAGTCGTCCGGTCAAGGTTCATCTTCTCGACCAATCAAAACTACGGAAGGTCATATACCACGTGTGGTGTATAACTCATATTTATACAGTCTGCATGCTTATGCAATGATCTGAGAGTGGGATAACACAGCGTATTGTGGTAGAAAGTACGATATATATCATAGCGCCAACACACCAACAGATAAATTAAAATGTATACCACAAAGTCAAGACACTAACAGATACAGTAAAATATATACCACAGCGTCGACACACCAATATATAAAGGTTTCTCAGAAAGAACTAGAGGGATCTTCTCAAACATGATATATAAGTTCCCTTTGGTCTTCACGTCCTTAAATGACCTTAGCTGTTGATAGGACGTTAAACCCTTTAAAAAATTAACCAACCAACTGTTGGTCTTTGATTATACATGTTAATTTTCAAATTGACCTGAATAATCAAAATACCAACAAGTGGCCATCGTGGTTTTTTCAGGTATTCATCTCACTTGCTCATAAAGTGCTGGAGGGATCTTTGTCGAATTTTATATGTATGTTCCCCTTGTTAAAAACAAATCTGGCCCAAATGAGAATTAATCCTTTATTACAAATGTTCAGCATTTAACATAAAGTGATGCAACTCTTATACGGTAGCATAGCGGCGAATTATATGACATTACGGGGTTTACCTGAATGTGTAATATTCCTGTTTAGGATTTCCATTATTGGACTGGGCAATAGTACTAGATAGTAAATATGAAGAGCAAATAAGGAAAAAGATAATCTTTTCTCGATCAGATAGGATAATTACAAGATGTACACCAAGAGCTTTCTATGATCTCTTGTCAGTCCTTTTCAGATTATGTCTGGACGAGAATGTGTAACAATGTATTTTATTTCATCTGACAGGTACATTTCTCGCTCCGTATCGAGGGAAAGGCCCCGACACGGTGCTGCTTTTGGATACCTCAGAAAGCATGCGTGGTCAGCCGTTCAACGACATGATTCAAACTGCCAAGCAGATCATAGATGGTATTGTTATGTTGATTTGTGATATATGTTATATAAGTCTTTAATAGGAGGCCTGTCGTCAATTAACACCTCACTATATACGAGTATACTACCTGATGATACAGTACCTGTTAATAGGTCTGGTGCATATCGTAAGAGGCGACTATTAAGGGTTTTATGCACTGAAAAAACACTAAAGAAAAAAAAAGATTTGCTGCCGAACTGTATCACTTGGATCTGTCTTCTCTCCCTTACTTATTATATCTTTTCTACCTTACTTATCCTATCTTTCCTCCCATACTAATCCTGTCTTTTCTCCCTTACTTCTCCTGTCTTTTCTCCCTTACTTCTCCTGTCTTTTTTTGCCTTATGTATCCTGTCTTTTCTCCCTTACTTATCCTGTCTTCCTCCCTTACTTCTCCTGTCTTTTCTTCCTTACTTCCCTGACTTTTCTCCCTTACTTCTCCTGTCTTTTCTCCCTTACTTATCCTGTCTTTTGTTACCTTATGTATCATGTCTTTTCTCCCTTACTTCTCCTGTCTTTTCTCCCTTATCCTGTCTTTTCTCCGTTACATATCCTGTGTTTTCTAACTTACTTATCCTGTCTTTTCTCCCTTACTTATCCTGTGTTTTCTACCTTACTCCTACTGTCTTTTCTCCCTTTCTTCTCCTGTTTTTTCGCTGGTGTCCTCCTTGACACTCGTCTTCATACATACATCATAACATTTGCTGTTGTGTGGATATTGAACCCCAACCAAACAAACCTGGGAACATATTCCTACGCCACTTAAGGTACTACTTACTATTCCACATGATAAGGGGGGAGGGTCTAAAATTACATTGCACTGCGCGGAACGACACTGGTATGATCGGAGTACTTTGGTTTTAACTATATATAGTCAGCTGAGTGTACATTACTGTTTTTGAATGATTTTTTTTCAAATTAAGAATGTTATGTGATGAATAGAATCTTAACATGCGTGTCCATCTCATATTTAATTTTTCAAACTCGTTTAATATATTCAAAATGACATGGACACTTACGTAAGATCCGCTATATACTACCTGCTGATGTATATCTGTTGTTCGTGTAACTAACCCTGAAGTAATATGATTGACTACACTTATTATATCGATATCACAGGTATACAGAACATAAGTATGACAATAGGTGTTGAAGAAAATATTGGGATCGCTGTATTTGGACAAGAGACGACCGTTTTGAGGCATTTAACGATGGATTATGTCGATCTGAAGTCTTCTTTAGGTAAGAAAATCAACAGTAAAATATCATTTGCTTCAAAACATGATAATGTATAAAATGTTGATACATAAAATAGTTCTTCGATATAGCGACCAAAAGACTATCAAATAGGTTTTAAATATAGAACATGAAGTAAACGTGAACAAAGACAAACCGTAGTTTTAATACATATTTGAATTACAGATACACTAAAAGCCGCAGGCCCGAGTCCGTTATCAGCCGGCTTTGTGATGGGTCTTGCAGCTTTATTAGGAAACGGTGAGTTATGTCTAGTTCGTTTGTATTCGTTATTTCTTTTAAACCAATCCTACACATTCCTTGGTTTTATTTTGCTCCTAAGTTTAGTTTTTCTCTTAAAGTAACATTACCACTATTGATATAATAATTTTCTCCTGATTATTGTGATTTGTTCTTTTGAATTATGAGAACGAGATATTAATTACTCTAAGAGTAAGACATGTAAATGTTAATGTTTCAAAGCCATAAAGTTTGAAACCTACCACTTATAGATTACTTTTGTATATCGCAGGGTTACATTTTATACAACATTGAAAGAATGGCAGAATACTTAAGTTCACAACGCACTTTTAAATTCGAATTTCGCGGTGTTTGTTCAAAAGGTAGAACAGCCCATGGAACTGCTCACGGAATGTTGTCTTGCGACTTTTCCCGTAAAAATATAGTTCGTGGAAATAAACACAAAAAATATCGATACTATTTCCATAATTTAATCAATCAATATATTCAATTCAGATTTTATAACAGTCTTACATAAAACGGTGAATAGTATTGAATCATAGTGAGGTTTTTTGTTTATCCGCTAGCTAGTGCGGAGGGGCATAGCTATTTGGTAGTTAGTTGGTCCCGTGGATATATCACTACGTCTGTGCTATGATCTCATAACACGGAACTGGCCTTGGTAGAGTTATATAGTGCCAATGCATAGCAAATGTTGTTATAGTTTCTTAACAACATTTGCCTTCTTAATGCATTGCAATGGAAGGATGGCAGAGCAAATGTAAATAAATTGTTATGTTAGTACTGATTCATCATTTACGTCAATACTATACGATATTTTAAGAACGACATTTACATTTATGTTTTTATTTGTCCCAATTTTTTGTCCGCTAAAGTTTTAATTTTAAGATAGAAATTTGTCGTCATTTTTAAAAGTTGTAGAACACGGATTGTAATGCAGGTGAAGTTCTGATCAAATGGTATGAAGTCAAACTAAGACTTGCACCAAGTGTTCTTTGGATATCATAGTTAAAACAGTCTTATTATATTTGATAACTGATCACTGGGAAAGCTGTTTAATTAAATTTAATCTTTACAGCATAAAACAGCACACAACACTATAGTATGGCATTTGGGCCTATTATATAAACTAAAAACATATGGTATTAAAGATAAATTATACCATTGGTTTAAAGCTTACTTATCTGACAGAAAACAATGGGTTATCTTTGAAGGTCATAAATCTAGTACCAAACCCATTTCTTCAGGGGTTCCTCAAGGATCTGTCCTTGGTCCCTTCCTCTTTCTTCTTTTTATTAATGATATAACTAACAATGTAACCTCTCATATAAAACTCTTTGCAGATGATACCTCTCTCTATGTAATAGTAAATAATAGCAATGACCTTACAACACCTACTAGCATGCTTAATGATTATCTTGACTCAATCTCTGAATGGTCAAAGCAATGGCAGATCCTATTCAATCCGAATAAGACTGTAGCTATTAACTTCTCTCGTAGACACATTAACAATCATCCTCAACTGCTATTTAACAATACTCAGATTGCACAACATGAACACCATACTCACTTAGGACTAACATTTAACAGTAAAGGGACATGGTCAGATCACATTTCAAATATTTATAAAAAAGCGAACTCTAGACTAAGTATTCTTAGAATTTTAAAAACTACTGTTGGTAGGAATACATTAAAAACATTATATGTCTCTTATATAAGACCTGTGGTAGAATATACTGATAAAGTATGGGATAATTGTACCAAATCTGAATCAGTCTGCATCGGACCAATTAAATAAAACTATTCTTATACATGTTGACTCTTATATTAAATCATCAAAACGTTTCGTTACTTATACGTGCTAGATAAATTCCAAATTAATATTCATGTATTGTTATTATTATTATTATTCAGGCAAGTTTAAATAATGAGTATTAGACATAGGCTGGTGTGGGTGTGGGTGTGCATGTGTGTGAGAGGAAAACGAATTACAACATTTTATATATTTAAGCATTGTACATAGCTACCGGAAATAGAAGAAGACTGATATAGGCATAGCCTGTTGTCTAATTCCTTTGTCAATACTGTTCTAATATCTTCTTTAATGTTAACTTTTATGTTTGTAGTATATATGTATTGTCAATAATATACTCTTGAAATAGTTTAATCCCTGTTTAATTCCAATTTCCAAGAGAAAAATAATCTTGTCTTGATATTTAATATACATTTGTATGATACTGGTACATTTTAACCTTTAAATATCTAATATTTTTTAACAGCCAAATGTGTGTTTCTTTTTCACTTTGTTTAATACGATTTAATACGAAAACAGTGACCGATGTGTTTCGTGAAGAAATAATGTTTTGTCGACATACATTCATTTAACAACAGTCTTAATAAAAATCGATATAGAAAGATGGTTGCGTTTGTAACATGCAGCTGTCCTGGTCTGAACGCCAAGCCGACCTTCCAATAGCATTGTTTTGTGACAATTGGTAATATTATTTCCTGATCAGGTACAACTATTCATTTTATCCTGGTTTGTTCGGATAGTAATGTTTCCATCAGAATTTTAGGAGCTTAGCATTGCTTTACAGCAGGTTGATTAATCATGAAAAATAGGTTTTAATAAAAGTCGTCCGTTGTACTTATCACAAGAAACAGTGACATATAGTGACGCTGCAGTCTCCTAGTGGTTTAGACAATATGTCGTTGGTTAGGTTATCAATGTTTATCTTAACATGTCATAAATGGCTGTGATAATGACTGAAGACGGAAACCTTAATTTTTTAACTGACATGTCTGTACCACGATTTTCCTTTTATTTGATTTTTTTAGGTACAACTTAGATGGCTTAATCCTTATATTGATTATATGTATGTTGTTTGTAATGCGTAAATTCTTATTTCAGCATCCGGTATTACGAGCGTTAAAAACGTACCACTCTCTCCCAGAGTTATCCTGATTAGTGACGGACACGCTACACTAGACAGATCAACCACGGAGGAGAAGTCGGAAAACGCCTTAATGACTTCGCATGTATGTAATAATGATGAAAGCAAAAGGACAGACATTGCCAAACGAAGTAGAAAAAGTAATCTTGTTTTGCCTTACCTCCACCAATTAAGGGTGACAACTAATCTTGTTTTGCCTTACCTCCACCAATTAAGGGTGACAACTAATCTTGTTTTGCCTTACCTCCACCAATTAAGGGTGACGATTAATCTTGTTTTGCCTTACCTCCACCGATTAAGGGTGACGACTAATCTTGTTTTGCCTTACCTCCACCAATTAAGGGTGACGACTAATCTTGTTTTGCCTTACCTCCACCAATTAAGGGTGACGACTAATCTTGTTTTGCCTTACCTCCACCAATTAAGGGTGACAACTAATCTTGTTTTGTCTTACCTCCACCAATTAAGGGTGACGACTAATCTTGTTTTGCCTTACCTCCTACAATTAAGGGTGACGGATTGTAAATATGCTGTTCAAGCTTTACATAAACGTTCTTAATATTAAATGATTATTGGCTGAAATGTTTTTTTGCCGTTATATTTTCGAAAATGAATTGATTGAGTTGTCAGCGCAAACAAGATACCTGGACCAGCCTAACGTCACCGTCACAAACATGTTCTAACGCTTGTTTCATGTAAATCGAGGCGAGGGGAAAAGCTTCGACGGCGCTGATGAAATTGCGTTCATAGCTCTATGGACACAATTTCTTTTGTTAACGTCTATAGAGGGACTTGCAGTGGAAATGTAAACAATTTTCAATGTTCAGTGTTGCACTCATTGCCACCGATTGGTGGAGGCATTTATGGTTATAGAGTAGTTTAATGGACATATATACAGTCCCTTTACCAGTTAAATATGTAATAAGTTAGTATTCTTAGGTGAATTTTAACACCGTGTACAAATTAAATATTACATTAGTCTTTGATGGGAATGTGTAAAGGTTAAGGTCTAGTTTTCGGTAGGCGATCACGCCTGGCCGCAGTATCCTACTATATACTGTCACATACATGTTGTATCCTAGTCAAAACGCCTGTAACATCCACCATTACAGTTACCACTTGTTTCTATTACAGCCAACAAAAACTGTCGTATAAGATATCTGTAATACATAGTAATGTTTATATTGGTGTGGTCAATTGGCAATCATCGTTTGGTTTTTGTTCAATTAAAGATACGGCTTCTACTGCTGCCAGTCCTGAATGACCACGCCCATCGAGGAAACCGCGTGTTTTGTGTACCTGTTGGGGACGCTAAAATGGTAAATGTTCGCGGCTACTCGTATCAAGTTTCCTGACGGAACGACATGTACAGTAATTAAACGAATTATCAATTATTTATTCAGACGAGTATGTAAAACATGTCAGTTTCAGTGCCACTGATAGTTTTATCGTGGAAAACACTTTTATTGAAGGAAGTTCACCATTTGCACTCGAACAAGTTGTTCAGTTCTAAGGTTTGTTAAACGATTACTGTATTTTAAGGTCTACTTCGAGGACATTTGTAAACAGACGAAAGGAAGGATTTACTTGACCAGTGATGTCCACAGACTTGTTAAAATGACCCAGGCTGAGGTAATTACACACAAAATATTATAATCAGACAATTGTATTATTGGAACGCTACTTCTAATTTAAGATTATGATTATCATATGCCCAAGCCCTGCAACACGTATTAAGATAAATATACCATTTTTATGGAATACTTATAATTGAGACACTACCATACATTGTAGTTTCCCGTATCGTGATGATAATGAAGTCGTTTTGGTGCTTGTAACTTCCCAATGTGTGCTTTTACTATTTGACATATCAAACATCATTGTAGTGGAGATATTACACAGTATACGACTTCAGGATATGAAATATAGTGTGGATCTGAGTTGAGTGAGAGGTTTGATAAAATTATAGTTTCATTCGTTCATAAATATCGTATGAAATTGAAACATTAACATTACCAAAATCGGTTTCAAGTGTTCGTGAAAACAGTTTTGTCAAGCTTATTTGAAATTCTAAAGATCCGATATTTTGACTTTTGTGACGCCACAATGAAATTAAAATTCTGATGTCATGACGTTGTTCTAGTTGATACGTCGCAACTAAAACTTACAGCCAATCATAGCTCTGACAGGTGCTATTAAACGTGTTCATGAAAAAAAGGAATATAATAGGTTTACTGACACTGTAAATAGGGAAGTTATGTGATAACCAGAAGATAATCAATAACGATTGGTTATGATCTTTATTCATTTGAGTTAATTTGTGCTTGTGACATATCAAATTAACCGAAGTGGTCTTTCATAAAAACCATGTTATAGCTGATGTTAAGAATTTTGTTACATTTTTTTAGACTTTATGTGAGTTATTCACTCTGCTTTTTATATACTACATGGGTGTACAATGTTCAAGGGATCTACAATACAATACAAACTATCTCTAACATTTATATGTAATATATCCATATCCTTCCATATCACTAGTATTTAGTATTTGTAAGCCTATCGTAGATGTAAACTATGTGATACATGTTACGTTTATTTCGTCATACAGGTTTCTGCTATAGAGATGTTTGAAGGGCTGAAAGGAAATAACAGGGAACAGATGCTAGAAATACTCACCGCTGGTTCTATGTATGGGTCCTCCGTCCAGCAGGATGCAGTGAGTATCAATACTAATTCAATATATAGTTCCTCTGTCTAGAAGAATGCGATGAGTAATAGTACTAGTTCAATATATATATAGTTTTTCTGTCTAGAAGAATGCGGTGAGTATCAGTACTAGTTCAATATATATAATTTCTCCGTCCAGCAGGAGGCGGTGGGTATCAGTACTAGTTCAATATATAGTTTCTCTGTCTAGAATAATGCGGTGGGTATCAGTACTAGTTCAATGTGTAGTTCCTCTGTCTAGAAGAATGCGGTGGGGATCAGTACTAGTTCAATATATGGTTTCTCTGTCTAGAAGAATGCGATGAGTATCAGTACTAGTTCAAAATATAGTTTCTCCGACTAGAAGAATGCGGTGAGTATCAATACTAGTACAATATATATAATTTCTCCGTCCAGCAGGAGGCGGTGGGAATCAGTACTAGTTCAATATATGGTTTCTCTGTCTAGAAGAATGCGGTGGGGATCAGTACTAGTTCAATATATATAGTCTTTCTGTCTAGAAGAATGCGGTGGGTATCAGTACTAGTTCAATACATAGTTTCTCTGTCTAGAAGGATGCGGTGATTATCAGTACTAGTTCAAAATATAGTTTCTCCGACTAGAAGAATGCGGTGAGTATCAGAACTAGTTCAATGTATGGTTCCTCTGTCTAGAAGGATGTGGTGAGTATCAGTACTAGTTAAAAATATAGTTTCTCCGACTAGAAGAATGCGGTGAGTATTAGTACTAGTTCAATATATAGTTCCTCCGTCCAGCAGGATGCGGTGAGTATCAGTACAAGTTCAATATATAGTTTCTCTGTCTAGAAGAATGCAGTGAGTATTAGTACTAGTTCAATATATAGTTCGTCTGTCTAGAAGGATGCGGTGATTATCAGTACTAGTTCAAAATATAGTTTCTCCGACTAGAAGAATGCGGTGAGTATCGGTACTAGTTCAATATATAGTTCCACTGTCTAGAAGGATGCGGTGATTATCAGTACTAGTTCAAAATATAGTTTCTCCGACTAGAAGAATGCGGTGAGTATTAGTACTAGTTCAATATATAGTTCCTCTGTCTAGAAGCAAGGGGTGAGGATCAGTACTAGTTCAATGTATGATTCCTCCGTCCAGCAGGAGGCGGTGGGAATCAGTACTAGTTCAATATATGGTTTCTCTGTCTAGAAGAATGCGATGAGAAATAGTACTAGTTCAATATATATATAATTTTTCTGTCTAGAAGAATGCGGTGGGTATCAGTACTAGTTCAATGTATATTTCCGCTGTCTAGAAGGATGCGGTGATTATCAGTACTAGTTCAAAATATAGTTTCTCCGACTAGAAGAATGCGGTGAGTATTAGTACTAGTTCAATATATAGTTCGTCTGTCTAGAAGGATGCGGTGATTATCAGTACTAGTTCAAAATATAGTTTCTCCGACTAGAAGAATGCGGTGAGTATCAGTACTTGTTCAATATATAGTTTCTCTGTCTAGAATAATGCGGTGGGTATCAGTACTAGTTCAATGTGTAGTTCCTCTGTCTAGAAGAATGCGATGAGAAATAGTACTAGTTCAATATATATAGTCTTTCTGTCTAGAAGAATGCGGTGGGGATCAGTACTAGTTCAATATATGGTTTCTCTGTCTAGAAGAATGCAGTGAGGATTAGTACTAGTTCAATATATAGTTCGTCTGTCTAGAAGGATGCGGTGATTATCAGTACTAGTTCAAAATATAGTTTCTCCGACTAGAAGAATGCGGTGAGTATTAGTACTAGTTCAATATATAGTTCGTCTGTCTAGAAGGATGCGGTGAGGATCAGTACTAGTTCAATATATGGTTTCTCTGTCTAGAAGAATGCGGGGAGTATCAGTACTAGTTCAATGTGTAGTTCCTCTGTCTAGAAGAATGCGGTGGGTATCAGTACTAGTTCAATGTATTATCGTAGATGTAAACTATGTGATACATGTTACGTTTATTTCGTCATACAGGTTTCTGCTATAGAGATGGTTGAAGTGCTGAAAGGAAATAACAGGGAACAGATGCTAGAAATACTCACCGCTGGTTCTATGTATGGGTCCTCCGTCCAGCAGGAGGCGGTGGGAATCAGTACTAGTTCAATATATGGTTTCTCTGTCTAGAAGAATGCGATGAGTATCAGTACTAGTTCAATGTATATTTCCGCTGTCTAGAAGGATGCGGTGATTATCAGTACTAGTTCAAAATATAGTTTCTCCGACTAGAAGAATGCGGTGAGTATCAATACTAGTTCAATATATACTTTCTCTGTCAAGAAGGATGCGGTGAGTATCAGTACAAGTTCAATATATAGTTTCTCTGGCTAGAAGGATGCGGTGAGTATTAGTACTAGTTCAATATATAGTTTTTCTGTCTAGAAGGATGCGGTGAGGATCAGTACTAGTTCAATGTATAGCTCCTCTGTCTAGAAGGATGCGGTGATTATCAGTACTAGTTCAAAATATAGTTTCTCCGACTAGAAGAATGCGGTGAGTATCAGAACTAGTTCAATGTATGGTTCCTCCGTCCAGCAGGAGGCGGTGAGTATCAGTACTAGTTCAATGTGTAGTTCCTCTGTCTAGAAGAATTCGATGAGTAATAGTCCTAGTTCAATATATATATAGTGTTTCTGTCTAGAAGAATGCGGTGGGTATCAGTACTAGTTCAATGTATGATTCCTCCGTCCAGCAGGAGGCGGTGGGAATCAGTACTAGTTCAATATATAATTTCTCCGTCCAGCAGGAGGCGGAGGGTATCAGTACTAGTTCAATACATAGTTTCTCTGTCTAGAAGGCTGCGGTGAGTATCAGTACTAGTACAATGTATGGTTCCTCCGTCTAGAAGGAGGCGGTGAGTATCAGTACTAGTACAATGTATGGTTCCTCCGTCTAGAAGGAGGCGGTGAGTATCAGTACTAGTTCAATATAGAGTTTCTCTGTCTAGAAGGATGCGGTGAGTACCAGTACTAGTTCAATGTATAGCTCCTCTGTCTAGAAGGATGCGGTGATTATCAGTACTAGTTCAAAATATAGTTTCTCCGACTAGAAGAATGCGGTGAGTATTAGTACTAGTTCAATATATAGTTTCTTTGTCTAGAGTACTAGTTCAATATATAGTTTTTCTGTCTAGAAGAATGCGATGAGAAATAGTACTAGTTCAATATATATATAATTTTTCTGTCTAGAAGAATGCGGTGGGGATCAGTACTAGTTCAATATATAATTTCTCCGTCCAGCAGGAGGCGGAGGGTATCAGTACTAGTTCAATACATAGTTTCTCTGTCTAGAAGGGGGCGGGGAGTATCAGTACTTGTTAAAAAATATAGTTTCTCTGTCTAGAAAGATGCGGTGAGTATCAGTACTTGTTAAAAAATATAGTTTCTCTGTCAAGAAGGATGCGGTGAGTATCAGGACTAGTTCAATATATAGTTTCTCAGTCTAGAAGGATGCGGTGAGTATCAATACTAGTTCAATATATACTTTCTCTGTCTAGAAGAATGCGGTGAGTATCAGTACTAGTTCAATATATAGTTTCTTTGTCTAGAAGGATATGGTGAGTATCAGTACTAGTTCAAAATATAGTTTCTCCGACTAGAAGAATGCGGTGAGTATCAGTACTAGTTCAATGTATGGTTCCTCCGTCCAGCAGGAGGCGGTGAGTATCAGTACTAGTTCAATGTATGGTTCCTCTGTCCAGCAGGAGGCGGTGAGTATCAGTACTAGTTCAATGTATGGTTCCTCCGTCCAGCAGGAGGCGGTGAGTATCAGTACTAGTTCAATATATACTTTCTCTGTCTAGAAGAATGCGGTGAGTATCAGTACTAGTTCAATATATAGTTTCTCTGTCTAGAAGGATGCGTATTAAGAAGTGTATCAACCACCAGGTGTAACAGCCGGGTACTTATGTACATCAGTAATGTAATCATAAACAGGTATCATTGTCCTGCTATTGTTTTGAAATAGATCAAAGGGTTCTGTCATTGTGCTAAATCAGTTTTAGGGTCCTGTCAGTGTACCGAAGTCAGATCTCGGAGCTCAATCATTCAGAACTTGAACGATTGATGTGATGATCGAGCGTAAGTGATAACCTCGAAGATTTTTTAATTTCCGATGCTTTTGAGAGACGGAGCGTCTCTCAAAAGCATCGGAAATTGAAAAATAAATATCACGTTGTCCAATCCTTTAGCAAAGATTATTCACATTCTGGCGGTTTTTTCTCTAACTTAACTTTATGTATTGATTATCTTTAAAAAAATTGAACTATCTGATTGTGGGTAAAGTTTTAGCTTAGTTCGATAAAGGACCGAATTAAAGTATAATTATGAAGACTTGCTTTCTGATTGGTGGACCGGTCCGTAGAATTGCTACATACTTTTCTGCTTCAATATCTACGTCGTCAAATAGCTTAATAAGTTTTGAAAATATTAGATTGAACAGGTAGTTACTGAACTGAGTACCACTGTACATTACTATTATCCAGGATTTGTTTTTAAACTGAATGTACTTTTCATTAGGAGGACATCGTTGATTACATCGAGTACCTGAGAAAAAGAGACACGTCTACAATGGGATTAGAACAACCAATGCATAAGGAACACGACCCAAATATGCCCCCGATAGGGACGCGCATGCGCCGCGGGTCGGCTTGGAAGTGGGCAAACCAGGACACAGAGGGACCAGGAACTGTCATTGGGCATCAGAAGAACGGTATATATGTCAGCTTATAAGTAGGTATTATCAATCCTGGATACATTTCCAAAAAAGTAGGTATGTATTTGATTCATGCCATTTCAGTGAATAGTCGAAATTGTTCCCCTATGTGTTGGAAACTGTTCCTCAAGGCTGGAGGCAAGGTTGAACCTAAAGTCAAAGGAGACCAGGTTTTGATATTACCTGATAGGGCATGCAAAACCGTCGTCAGTAAAGATGAGTTTATATCTCGATCACATAAACTGCTGTTTTTAGTAGGAAAAAGTTCCTCAGCTTGTTGTGAACAGGTTTTACGAATTCCTCGCTGCATATGAATTTAATAATAATAAATAATAGTACACAACTTTTATTAAGCTCCCTGTATAATTTGTAAAATTACTGTCAAGCGCTTTACAACATATGGATAATAATATTAGTTTTAATAGATCAACAAAAAAGACAAACAATCGCCATTATACATTAAGCAAGAAGATACTCATTTCAATGTGCATATACATGAAAAAATAAAGGGTGGTATGAACATAACGTCTGTGCAAAGAGCCTAGAACGCAGACGTTAATAGGTGGCTCTTTGTATTCTTCTTGAATTTGGCCAGGGTATTTGACTTTCTAATAGCAGATGGTAAGCTATTCCACAACGAGACCGAAACTCTCCCAAAGCACTGGTTTTCATAGATAACAGTTCGAGATTTTGGGACANGTTTTGAAAATATTAGATTGAACAGGTAGTTACTGAACTGAGTACCACTGTACATTACTATTATCCAGGATTTGTTTTTAAACTGAATGTACTTTTCATTAGGAGGACATCGTTGATTACATCGAGTACCTGAGAAAAAGAGACACGTCTACAATGGGATTAGAACAACCAATGCATAAGGAACACGACCCAAATATGCCCCCGATAGGGACGCGCATGCGCCGCGGGTCGGCTTGGAAGTGGGCAAACCAGGACACAGAGGGACCAGGAACTGTCATTGGGCATCAGAAGAACGGTATATATGTCAGCTTATAAGTAGGTATTATCAATCCTGGATACATTTCCAAAAAAGTAGGTATGTATTTGATTCATGCCATTTCAGTGAATAGTCGAAATTGTTCCCCTATGTGTTGGAAACTGTTCCTCAAGGCTGGAGGCAAGGTTGAACCTAAAGTCAAAGGAGACCAGGTTTTGATATTACCTGATAGGGCATGCAAAACCGTCGTCAGTAAAGATGAGTTTATATCTCGATCACATAAACTGCTGTTTTTAGTAGGAAAAAGTTCCTCAGCTTGTTGTGAACAGGTTTTACGAATTCCTCGCTGCATATGAATTTAATAATAATAAATAATAGTACACAACTTTTATTAAGCTCCCTGTATAATTTGTAAAATTACTGTCAAGCGCTTTACAACATATGGATAATAATATTAGTTTTAATAGATCAACAAAAAAGACAAACAATCGCCATTATACATTAAGCAAGAAGATACTCATTTCATTGTGCATATACATGAAAAAATAAAGGGTGGTATGAACATAACGTCTGTGCAAAGAGCCTAGAACGCAGACGTTAATAGGTGGCTCTTTGTATTCTTCTTGAATTTGGCCAGGGTATTTGACTTTCTAATAGCAGATGGTAAGCTATTCCACAACGAGACCGAAACTCTCCCAAAGCACTGGTTTTCATAGATAACAGTTCGAGATTTTGGGACACACAACAATGCTTCTGTCTCCGAACGCAGTTATCGTGACGGCTGATACAGGGTAACAAGCTCATAAAGGTACTTGGGCGCTGTTCCATTCATTGCCTTGTATGTGTACACCATAAGTTTTGTACTGCGACATGTATCTAGCACAGGTGTGATGTGCTCTCTCTTTCGAGTACGAGTAACCAGGCGTGCTGCCGTGTTGTGGACCCTCTGCAGACGACTTGTTATTGTGTCAAATATTCCACAGAGAAGGGCATAACCATAATCCAACGGGAACAAGTGAATGCACCAAAATCTTGCATGCATCTGCAGTTATAAAATGCCGGTACAGCCGATGTTCCTGATCTAATAGTAACAGGGTTTTGCAATAGCGTTCAATTTTTTGCCATGTTCAGTGAACTATCAAAGTATACCCTTAGATTTTCAACAGCGTAGACAGTCTCAATAGTTCTGGCACCAACCTTGAGATAGAGTGCCATTGTTTACTGACACATCCAAGTACTGATGTCTGTCAGACAAGCTTTCAGATTTTCTAATATGGTATCCAATCTGTGCTGTGGTTTGATGACTATGTAAATTTGTGTGACATCAGTATAACAATAATAGCGAAGGCTATGGCGACGACAAATCTCTCCGATCGGTGTTGAATATAGGCAATATTTCTGTGGTCCTAACACCGACCCTTGAACCCTGAAGTCAGGTATTTTGTCATGTGAGATGGTAGATCCAAGGGCAACACACTGTCGCCGTTAACTCAGATAAGACTATATCCAGCATAGTGGGTCATAAGTCACCCTATGAGAGTATTTGATACGTTTGCAAAGTATTGCATGGTCAAATGCAGCTGACAAGTCACGCATGACAAGAACCGCTGTGCACCTGTTGTCCAATACCGAGCTGTCATTATGTACTGGTAGGAGGGCCGTCTCAGAAGAGTGTCCCATACGGTAGGTTGTCATGGAGACTGTTTGCATGGAGATGAACTTCTAAACGCCGGGACACGACCTTCTCCAAGATCTTGGACTGAAAAGGTTGATTTGATACTAGGCGGTAGTTCTTCAATTCCTCTTCTCCATTCCAGGAATCTTCAACAATGGTCTAACAGGCGCTTTCTTGAAACACAACGGAACCTTTGACTCAGCCAATGATTTGTTGATGATTGAGGTAATCAAAGGAAGCAGTGCTTCAAGACATTCCTATAATAGTTCTGTAGGAAGTGGATCATGCTCACAGGACTAAGATTGCAAGGTCATGATGATATTGCGCAACTCGTCCTTGGTTGTTGGTGATAGCTTTGCCAATGGTTCCCCATTGAATTTAATGTCAGCAATCATGACAGAGATATCATTGTCAGCAGTAGAGTTCACCTCGTCAATATTTGTCCTGATCGTGCTGATTTTGTTAAGAAAGCAATCACTGAACTTGTTTGACAAGTCTTTTTCAGAAGTACAGCTTGGCAGGATGATTTCACCTTTCAGACCCATTAAGGATGTACTCTTCTGAGGCTTCAATCACGTTCAAGTCTCGTTTTGATCTGGTGTAATGGGTTTTTGTAATATTTATTAAATTATGATCAAGTTTATTAGCAAACACGCATCTGGAAAATATGTCACAAAACTAGATGCCTGTTGTCTGTAGAACTTTTTTTACAAGAATTTAAAATAAATAAAAATTCGGCGGCCATTTTGAAAATGTGTATTAATGTGTATTTCTTTGACACTAGATTGATTACTTAAATTGTCATTGTGTCGCCATTTTTAATTGTAGCAGGTTCAATTTTGCTGTACAACTTTATAATGTTCAATATGATAAAGATAATATGTAACAAACAGGAAAATTATACATTATTGATATTGTTTTAACATATTTAGTGTAACTGAAGCACTTTTGAATTTTGACCCCGAAAAAGGTAAAAAAATAACACAAATGATAATGGGACAAAAAAAGAAGCACACTGACCCCACATTTTTGTAGATGTTTTAGAAAGGGAAAACCATTTTCATTTAATTCATTAAATATTAAAAAAAGTTTAATAGCAGAACTTTTTATATCAAGCGTTTATTATGCAAACAAATGTAAAAAAAAAATGAATATTTTTTCATTAAAAAATAGAGGGTAGGGGTAAATAAAATCGGCTTTCTGAGGTTAAAGAATAAGATTAAGATTTTACTTCCATAATTTAAAAGAAAATAATATTTTCATCAATTCTACAAACATTCATACATATCTGATAACACACTTGGAAAAAATTGTATGAATTTGATCTGCAAATGGTGAAAACCCAATAGGTATCTTTGACCGATCATAGCACAAAAACGAACACACGGACATATTTTTTGTTGCATTTTCTACTATGCCATTAACTCCTTTTTCCAAAAATCCATATAAGAAAAAAACTTTACAGGAAATTTTGGTGAGTCTAAGAAGATGCCTTGGGTTTCTTACCAGATTCTTCATTTCTTTCCGAATAATAAGCTATCTTTGATTAAAAGATTGAAAGCTAGCCGACATCGTTACCTATAAATCTGTTGGTGAACGGTTAATGTGGTCCTTCACCACCGTCTCTCTGCCTTTCTGCGGTTCTGTTTTCTTACGCGGAGATTTTCGTTATATCACGGGGCATTTGGTCTCACAGTTACCCCTTAGTCTGTAGAGGTGCGTGTTTATCTATAAGGGCTTCTTTACCAGATTGTATGCTTCATCAAGATCATCAACCCCGCATCATCTTCCCTTGCTATGACCTTATCCAGTGTGTGGCCATGGGTGTGTGTAGCTTCTGTCACATGCTGAATCAGACCCCTGGAATCTAGTAGCCTAGTAGAGAACTGGCGAGCATCAACATTACATAGATCGTCTAAGTGGAAATTTAAGGCACGCATGATAATAATATCTTGTGGTACAACAACCTCGTTGTATAAATAGGTAGACCACTCATAAAAAAACGCTGTATTTCGGAAAACATTCTGTTTAGAGGAGGCATCTAAATGATACACAATCTAAATTGTTTATCATTAGCAATGGAAGAGCATGTCACGTGCTCAAAGTGTGTGTATCCATCATCATGGCTGGGAGAGATGTGTCTCACACTTAGGCCTTTCTTAAACAGAAAAGCCATCCCACCAACACGTCTGCCGAGTCTAGCATTGTGGAGGAATTCATAGCCTGTTGGTATTAACTCAGCTAGTACCTGGTCATCAATATCTGAACCTTGCCAGGTCTCGGTCAATGCAAGAAATTTTATTGATTCCTAGAAGAATAAAGCAAAAGTGTCTAAATATTGTTTTTGTACAAAGGGAGTCATGTTATTTATATTAACAGAACCTGATCACATATATTGTCTAAATGATAATAGATAATGTGATTAACATATGAACAGTAGGTGTTTATTTGAAGTATACTTCTTTCTAACCTTTGAAAACTCTATCCATTTTGAAATATATATATATATTGACGATCAAGAATCGGCCATATCGCTACAATCTTTTTGAATCTTTTTTGAAAATATCTTTAAAGGAATGATATGGGTTGAGTGGGACAATGGCTTTAAGAATCGGTATCACTACCAGCCCGGCTCCTACGACGTGAAGGAGGTTGATGAACCGCGACAGATCCTTGGGGACCACTTGATAGCTGTCGGCTATCAGGTCAAACGAGGTAGGCACTAATTAACTGCTATACATCGTTGATTAGGAAGGACGCACCTGTTTTTGGATTATTAATTTGCTGTAACATTTGTCACGTTATTTTGTTGAAGTATTAATGAACTAATTCATGACTACCATTATTGGTTTTCGTTTTCGGTGATGTGGTTGAATTGTTGTTAAAGGTATTGACTGGACTAACGGTGACCAGGATGGCGGGCAAGGCAGCATCGGGACTGTGTTTCTAGTGAAAGAAAATGGCAATGTTGGGGTAAGTTAGCTTAGCCATTTTTAATGCATCAATGTTAACTACATCTTTCGTTCCATATGTTGTTATCGTGTAGCCGTGGCATTAATACTGTTTTCGATAGTATGTGTCTCGACATAATCATCATTAAATGTTATGTCAGTGGAAACACAATAGGCTCTGTCTAATCCACAGTAAATGTATCATACTGTGTACAAACAAACTACTGATAATTGATTATTACAGCCAACTATCGTTGTGTTTCTTATGTTATCTAGCACACATCAAACTTAATAGACTATTTCAAATTCTATTAGATATATATGGAAACTTATGTTAATTTGAGATAATGAGATTCGCTTATAGCTGAGTGTATAGCAACATGATTGAATGAGTTTGTACACTTTCAGGTTCGTTGGCAAAATGGTCGTATGGATATCTATAAATTTGGTGCGGAAGGACGATTTGATCTTGAAATATGGTACGTTACCAGTATAAATTGAATAAAACATGTTCCTCTTCAATGTTTGACTACTGTAGTTCAATTGCATACACACATAGGCGTGACATACAATCAGTACTGCACCTTATTCATTTTCAGGATCAAACTTTAAAGACTAACGTGAAAGACACACATGTTATTTCACCTATGAAATTTCGAAATAGATTAAATATGCCAAAAAATGAACTTAACTGCACTATACAGCAGTTTCGTCTTTCTAGGAATTACCGACCGACTATTAAAAGATTGTAACGTGTCATATAACTGTGATAATTTCATGTTCTTTGATAATCACGCGATAACAGTATGTCAAAAAGATATTTAAATCTATGTGGTCACTATTAACAGACTGCTTCAACATTGACAGTATATTAAATACAACCATACTTTTGAGTTTTGTACATGTACCATACGTTGGTGGGTAATTCAAATCACCCTTTGTTTGTGGTCCGTGGTCCGTGGTCCATCCGTCCTAAAACAATTCTTGTTATGGTGATTTCTCAGAAAGTGCTGGAGAGAGTTTTCAAAATTTTCAAAATTTGCATATCGTGTTTTGGAACTGATCAGAAAACCAAGATGGCCGACAGGCAGCCATCTTTATTTTTGAACGTTGAAGGTTGTTAGCCCTATTTCTCAGAAAGTACTGGAAAGATGTTTTCAAATTTTACATAAATGTTCCCCATGGTCTTATTGAGGAAAACCGGAATACCCGGGGAAAACCCACGTGGTTGGGCAGGTGGAAGGCAAGTGCGCTATCCACTGTAATACCCGACCACCCATTTGATCATTTTACATATAGTTATGCAATTCTTATTCAATAACATTTGTCCTAGTGGCAAATAACATATAACAATACGAGATTTAAGTAATTGTTCAAGATTCCTGTTTAGGATTTTCAACATGGGACTGGGTAATAGTTCATGTGGGGTAAATGAAGAGCAAAGACGGCAAAAGATCATATTTTGTAGATCTGATAAATATGCTTTGATGGTGGGCGCCAAGATCTTTCTATGAGCTCTTGTTTACCGGTTCAATATTACAATGCTTTGTTTTTTACAAACGAATATTTTTCAAAAGTGTTTTTCATAAATTTCATTACTGATTTGATTAATACTTTTACTCCGTGTCACGAGGCATTATCTTAGTCGGTAGTAAACGAAGCAATTAAAACATAACTAAGGTATGCCAGGTGATAAGTACGAAATTTTCGTTAGAGAGACTTTTTATGTTATCAGAATAAGTTGTCATTTGTCAATTGGAACATTTAATGATACTAAGAAATATTTGTCGTGGCCTAATACCCATTGAAATGATATCTATGAATAAACTTACACAGGACAGACAAAACATTACGTCTGAAGTACGAGTCAGAACCTCGACAGTTATCTATCAGCCTCACTCGTCTGTGATTTGTAATGTTAAGGAACAACTAATTTTCGGACCAAATCCATTTTCTTCCTTAATTACATTCTTCTCAGAAACATATATAAAAAACAATAAAAAACACTTCACATAGGGTATTGCAATTTTGATGTCGCTACCACGACAGGAAGGGAACAGTTGGTTGGTACACGGTAACGACCAGCGAATGACGTTCGTCACAGCTCATTTTGATGTTGTCTTCCGTGACGTAGATCAATGCAAAACACTTGATTTTATAATGTATTGTTGAAACACTGTCCTTTTGTTCTAACTTTCCATTCTGATGGATTGATGGTATATATCAGAACTGCTGTCTGACTGCCTTGAATCCTTTTTTGGTTTTGTTGTAGTGATCCAAATACCACTCCTCGTCCTCGTGTTAAAACCGGCCGGGAAGGTTCTCCGAACGTTCAGACAGGTGGGAATGATAGCTTGCCAAGGATTACTCCGAGAAACGATCCATCGCTCACAATGGTCCAACCGGATTCCAACAGCTCCCGACATATAGAATCATACTTGCCGTCCGTGGAGGAAATGAATAGGAAAAATACGTCATCTACGTCATCTGCGTCAAAACCTCAACCATCATCTACACATTCTAAAGAAAAAGGTAATACTAGACCTCGAGGTGTTTTGTCTGCAATCAAACAATTCTAATATACCACAAATGTTTGAAATCAAACAATTATAATATACCACAAATGTTTGAAAACAAACAATTATAATATACCACAAATGTTTGAAATCAAACAATTATAATATACCACAAATGTTTGAAATCAAACAATTATAATATACCACAAATAAATACATTGTCATTAAAACAGGTTTTCATAGTACACAAAAAGTCAATATGGAATTCAGTAGGAGTGCAATATCATATCTTTTGAGTTTTATCTAAAATCAAGTAAACCTGTTAAGTTTGATACCGGTATCTACAAATCCATCTTTGATACTCCATGGGTAACGCTTACGTTCTCCATCCAAAATCAAACAGAATATACACTTTTTTATAATGTAACTAATATTTCATATTTTTTGATAACTGTTTCTATGACGACAGTTGTTTCGTGTCAAGATTTAGGCAGTGGTGATGTTGAATCGTCGGTAAAGCCTGACCCCTCTGGTACCGACTACCGCGTGAAGTGGCAGTACGCCAACAGTGAAGGTCAGTTCAAAGACTACCCCGGTAACGTCAATGGCAAGATGGAGGCTACATATATCAAACGGCCGAGTGGGACCGTCATCATCAACATGGACGGTGTGGGGTAAGGACCGCGGTGTATCCTGGGAGTTTTCATCCTTCAGTTATCACACTATTCATGTTAATTACAATTTTCAGTTTTCGATTTCATCTGTTTCTGGAAGTCTTCTTCAAACATAGTTTTAAGATTTAGACCAGCTGTTATAGTTGTAAAATGTATTTAAAAGAACTTTACATGAATAAAGATTGTAGAGAGATTTTGTTGGATGTGTGTTTATGAAAAACATGTAAAAGAATGTGTATCACAATGACAATTAACAGACAAACGATGGCGTTTCCTAAGTTTGGTAGTAGGTACGGTAGTGTAAACAATAGAAAAGTCAAATTTCTGATAGAAATGATATTTTTGTGGAGAGGATGCTCAGGGTTGATCAAAGGATCTGTTTAATTCTTCAAAATCCACATTAAGTCCAGCTCTGGAGCATAGAGTGTCATAATACGATTGTAACCTTGATTTAATGGAACTAAAAATGGTGGTAAAGAATTTGGATAATGGCTTTGTTGAGCAACAAGCAGAACCAGCTAAAAATGTTGTTTTTAAGGATTCTTGTGAAGTTTTGGAATCCTATACAAACAAGGCAAGTCCGTATCTCTATCATTATTGGATATAATTTAAAAAGGCTCTGGAACAGCAAACTATCTCTGACATGTAAATTCCATGAACAGATTAGTCTTGAAATTGTACCGGGGACGTGAAATTTGACTGTTCTGGAAGGTAATATATTAAGAATGGAAAGTTGATTTAAATATTTTTTCAAAAAAGCCGAAAGAAAACAATACAAAAGCAACGTCCTTTTGTACATGTGTACGAGCTCTTATTTCAAATTAATGATTTTGATTTCCTTCTGGGTGTATCGCAGGTTCTAATTCGTCTGTTCCAGGTATAGAATCAGCTTCACAAAGATGGTACAAGTTGAAATCAGTTCGAAAGAAACAGTAAATATACGACGAACAGGTAGGAACTTCGTATTTACACAATAAGTTTTATGAATTAGTTTTGAGAATTAAACAGCCAAATGAAATGCAACTGTGCGAGAAATATTAGTGTTTTATTTAAATTACCTTGTAGTGTGTCAATAGTGAGACTCATAAAAACGACATTTGTAGAAAAGATGTGAAGTATATGAAATTAGCACATAACTGATGAAATTCCAGGGTTTACCCTCACTTATGTTCTTTGTACCCCTAGTATATGTAATGCCAAAATCGAAAGCTTTGTACGCGCCACCTTGTGTATGATACACGTAGTCTGGTCATTTGATGTACATCAAAAGAATCGCGCGGCTGTGTAAGGGTATAATTGACTGGCTTTGAAGTCTCTTCCCTGTAATCTTCAAAGTACATATATCAACCTAGCGATTGGTCAGTTTTTTAAAACCTGAAACCACTAAGATTGGTAACCACGTGCTTTCGATTTTATCATGATATATTCCAGGAGTGCATGGGGACGTAAATAAGCATAATTCCTTAGGATGTGTTGAGATAAAATTTGAAACATCGTATTATTGGCTTCGCAATAATTTTCACATCTATGCTTTGATTTGTGTCATCCATTATGTGATAGGACGAAATTATTTGATGATGTGTATAATGCGCGTTTGTATTTGTGATTCAGTGCTAGCATAAATGAGGTCTTACGACTACTACCATGGCTGTTGAACCGAAATAAAGTGACTACCGACCTGGGAGATTCATTGAATTCTGATGACTACCACCATTGATGGTGAAAGGAATTCTACATGTTACGACTTCCCCAACTGGAGTTTAAAGACACAATTAAAACATAAGAAAAGGTTCATAAGCATAAACAAAAATACTACGCGTGTCTTTCATTAAATGATTGGAATGCTTTGAAAATGTGTTAAGCAGGGAATGTTTAGCATTACTCCTAATACCACGAACAGGCGGTCTAAAGTGGTGTGGTGTCATTATTGGTAATACCACGAACAGGCGGTCTAAAGTTGTGTAGTGTCATTATTGGTAATACCACGAACAGGCGTCTAAAGTGGTGTAGTGTCACTATTGGTAATACCACGAACAGGCGGTCTAAAGTGGTGTAGTGTCTCTATTGGTAATACCACGAACAGGCGGTCTAAAGTGGTGTAGCTATATATATATAGTGTCACTATTGGTAATACCACGAAAAGGCGGTCTAAAGTGGTGTAGTGTCACTATTGGTAATACAATATATATATGTGTTAGACACGTCTGTAAGGTGTCTCGTACAGACTTGTATAGACTTGATAAATGATGTTACTGAACAATGTATAGACTTGATAAATGATGTTACTGAACGATGTATAGACTTGATAAATGATGTTACTGAACAATGTATAGACTTGATAAATGATGTTACTGAACAATGTATAGACTTGATAAATGATGTTACTGAACAATGTATAGACTTGATAAATGATGTTACTGAACAATGTATAGACTTGATAAATGATGTTACTGAACAATGTATAGACTTGATAAATGATGTTACTGAACAATGTATAGACTTGATAAATGATGTTACTGAACAATGTATAGACTTGATAAATGATGTTACTGAACAATGTATAGACTTGATAAATGATGTTACTGAACAATGTATAGACTTGATAAATGATGTTACTGAACAATGTATAGACTTGATAAATGACGTTACTGAACAATGTATAGACTTGATAAATGATGTTACTGAACAATGTATAGACTTGATAAATGATGTTACTGAACAATGTATAGACTTGATAAATGATGTTACTGAACAATGTATAGACTTGATAAATGACGTTACTGAACAATGTATAGACTTGATAAATGATGTTACTGAACAATGTATAGACTTGATAAACGACGTTACTGAACAATGTATAGACTTGATAAATGATGTTACTGAACAATCTAGTGCATTACTTTTGTTTTCTTTTTTCTGTTCTGACATTCGTCAGTGCTGATGAAATGAAATTAATAAAATATTGAAAAAAAGAAAATAGTGTGTTCCTGTTTATTTGATTAACAGAACATGTAACTATTTGTATTTCTTATGCGAGTTAAAAAACTTATTGTATGAAAATACTCATAAGATATCTAATTTAATGAATATGTTATATTTGGTCATTTATCTCCAACGTGTAATAACAAACTGAAATAAATTACAACATTAACTAAACTGAATGTAATTGGTTATTCAAGTCGTACTTGTAATAAACAACTGATGAAATACAACGTTTACTAAATATATTTGGTCATTTAAGTCATACGTGTAATAATATACTGCATGATAAACTACAGCATTAACTATATATATTTGGTTGTTAAAGTCGTACGTGTAAAAACATACAATATATTTGGCTATTTAACTCGTACATGTAATAATTAACTGATAAATTGCATCATTTACTAAATACATTTGGCTAATTAAGTGTTAAACTCGGACTTTTCTAATCTAGTCCGTGTACATAATAACAATCTAGCACACTTATTTACCCCATAGGTCACCTCGCTAGGCCAACCCAATCACGTGATCGTTGTTTGTTACTTTAAATAGCAACGTAATATGTGTATATAGTATGTGGGAAAACCCTGTTTTGACAATTCAGAGGCCGTTTTGACACGTACGAGGAAGTGTACTACAAAATGTGACGAGATATATATGCAAGGTAAGTTTTGCTCGTGTTTATTTAATAAAATGAGGGACAGAAGGCGATTTATGATACCGTGTAGACACTCCAGATCTACAGGTCACTAGATGTTTACTGTTAGTGTCGTAGCTGGTAGGCTGGAATCTACGTACGCTAGGAGACTACACCTCTACACTCTATTTTCGTTCCTACACTATTTTACAAGACAAACAGATAGGAGTTCTACAATCTACGCAGTAAAGCATTGTAGTTGATTATTTTTTTATCCGGATCATCGCGATTGACGTGGCAGTATTATAGAAAACCCGGTCGAAAGAGAAAGTAGAATTCTCAAATTAAACTTAGGACGTAAAGATGCATGTTTAAGGCAAGGTGAGAGAGATGTGATAACTGCTACACATATCATGTATTACATGGATAATATCAAAAGCTTTCTTGTACCAGAGAGTGGTAAGAAAGCTTTCTTGTACCAGAGAGTGGTAAGAAAGCTTTCCTTGTACCAGAGAGTGGTAAGAAAGCTTTCCAATTTAAATAATTAAATAATATCTGGTATACAGTGCGTAAGGATCCGGTCCCAGTGAGGACTACTTCTTTAACTTGACATTTTTAAGATGGTGTAAGTTTTACATATTGGTTATTTGTTATTTGTTGCATCGTCTTCGTCAGTCGTATTCGGATAATTTAGTGTGATATTTGTCCACAGAGATACAGCCGAATAACATTGTGTCAGCGAATTACTGCTAACATCTGACTATCATGACGACAGTAGCAAGTCAAAATAACATACTATTGGGACAAGAAAATACTACCAAATTATCTGCTCAGGACCTTGTAAAGGAAGTAAGTATTTCATTTTACGAAAGCTATATTTGTAATAACCCTGTAAATCAGGATCCATACTGTTTGAAATTATTGCACATCATAAAAGTGCATTTCTTATTTTAGAAACAACTGTGACTTATAAAACTTTCAAATGTTTTATAATACTCTAATATATCCCAGCTTCAGACTATTCGCAATGTGTTGGAGAAAGCAGAGAACACCAACGGGAAAGTCCTCAAACAAATTCAGAGCAGGGCCAAGTAAGTATTCGTTTATATAAAAGCATTGTAATTATCTAAGTATAAATTGTAATACAGATTAAATTTGTAATGCCTTATTTGTACAAATATATGGTTCATGTAACATTTATCAACAATCAAAACATTGTATAGTGATAATTTAACATTCATTTTTGTTGGTTTTAATTTACTGTTGAGGATGTGTGAGTCGACGACATTATAGATGAACCTTTCCTACACAATAATGTGCATATAATTTTACAATCTATTCTATCTTTATTTAAGGGAATGGTCTATGTTTGAAGAAACCTCACCGACAATTGCAGGTTTGACATGATGTGTTTTTTTTATAAATATTTATGTAAATAAAAATAATTTCATGAAGTCAGGACTACATAAAATATTTGTTTCGATCAACAATTATCCTTAAAGTCATACAGCATGAACTTAAAAATCGTTTATTTGAAAACCTGTTTTAAATACGTACTAATTACCAGTGTATATTTTCTGATATTACAACAGACATGAGGTCAAAAGCCAGGCGATTGGGAGAGGTGATGGACGGAGGAGACACACGTTTAAACGAACTAGAAAAAATGGTTAACGTAGTATGTTGTAAAGTTGATGATGTCATCAACGTAATTCATAAGGCCGAGAAAGTAGAAGAGCATAGAAATGAAGGTCAGGGACAGATAACAGCGGGATCGAAAGACATTGAAAGAAGTGGAAAAACAAGAGACGAAATAATCCACAGTGGTCCTGATATAAAAGTGAAACGTTTGACTACTGCGCAACCTGTACATGTTCAACAGCCAATGAACACTGAAAGAAAAGTCAAGAGCGGGGCTCGAAAGGAACAGACGCCAGATCCTGTGGATGACTTACCATCAATTGTGTGCACTTCCGGGTTTAAGAGGCGCCTGACAGTAGATAGCTCCGACAATAGACTTAAGACTGACAAGATCGCGAAACAGAAACAGATGGAAAGCAAGCGACCGAATATAGCAGGGGCCAAATCTGATTTAGACCCAGCCTATGTGAACATCAAGAATACTTCTGTCCGTATTAAAGAGCAGGATGCTCGGTAATACATGTTTTAATTCTTTCCAGTTTACACGTGTTATGACATTTTTAGGGCAGTGTTTTTACTAAATCCAATATTTTAAAGTCAGATACATATATCTTAGTGACATATCCCATTTATATATTATACAATTATAGCATGGTGATGAGGTCGATACATGGTTTTATCAACCTAGGTTATCAATATTAACCGAGGACGCAGTCCAAGGTCAATATTGCTAACATAGGTCGATAAAACCATGTATCGACCGAAATCACCATACTACAATAGTTTTATTATTTTAATTGATTTTTTCAAAATCGAAGAAAAAAATGTAAAAAAATATAGTTTTCCATTTTATTTTCCATTTTTTTTTAGTCACAAATTTTAAAATCAACTAAACAAAAATATCAGAAAAATAACATTTTTTAATTCAATATCTGCAAGAATCATTTAAATATCTGAAATAATCATTGATCAAATTACTGCATCAAATCCTTATTTTAATTAGCACAGTTAGCAGCACTTTAAAATCCGTGGAATAAAGCATCCAAGTGACTTCAGTGTTAGTCTTGATCACTACTGTGTTTGTCTCCCATGCGGTGTTAATCAAGCATCTAAATGACTTCACAAAAATTCCAGAATCTATTTAAAGCAGGTTAATAACACTTTATCTACCAACTTTTTTGAACACCTGTTCCAGAATCTATTTATAGCAGGTCAATAACACTTGTTCTACCAACTTTTTTGAACACCTGCAAACCAATCAGGTTTATAACTACCTTTACAGGTGGTCACATGATGTTGTTCAGCCAATCAGAGTCAGCTCAAAATCAATTAAAATAATAATATAGAATTATAGCATGGTGATGAGGTTGATACATGGTTTTATCAACTTAGATTAGCAATATTGACCAAGGCCGCAGTCCGAGGTCAATATTCCTAACCTAGGTCGATAAAACCATGTATCGACCGAAATCACCATGCTACAATAGTTTTATTATTTTAAGTGATTTTTTCAAAATTGAAGAAAAAAATGTAATTTTTTTTAGCCATTTTTGTTGTTGCTAAACTCTTGATCACTACTGCGTTTGTCTTTGATAGGCAGTATCAAGCATCCAAGTGAATTCAGCGTTAATCTTGATCATTACTGTGTTTGTCTCCCATGGGGTGTTACTCAAGCATCTAAATGACTTCACAAAAATTCCAGAATCTATTTATAGCAGGTCAATAACACTTGTTCTACCATCTTTTTTGAACACCTGCAAACCACTCAGGTTTATAACTACTTTTACAGGTGGTCACATGATGTTGTTTCAGCCAATCAGAGTCAGCTCAAAATCAATAAAAATAATAAAATGCGTTACAACCCATACATCAATTTAAATGTCCTTACATATAATAACTATATAAATATCAGGAACCGTTCATATTGGTAATATTTGTCAACTTTGCCTGTATTTATATATTATAGATTCGAGGCAGATTTCAAGAACATGCCCGGTAAGTAATAAAGAATATGTAACTATGATAATTTTGTTGAAAATGAATTATATATCGTGTTTGATTTCTAATCTAAGATAGCATGATATAGCAACACTGTTTTAATGCATTCAAGTTTGTGTTCAACTGATTATTATAAAACATAATGATGTATGGACATACAGTGATACAAAACTAAATCTGACTTCTACAAATCCATGTGAATTGTTTATAAATTATCTTTATGTTGTGTATTATTTCCTGGCTTAATTATAAATTGATATCGAAAAGAGATATTGTTATTAATTAGATATTAATGCATCTCTTTATTGACAGTTGCTTACGATGTTTCATACGGAGTCATTATTAACAAAATGTCAGTTATTTGTCCAGGAAAAAATCCATCTGCAAAGTTACCTGACAGAAATTATAGCCAGTCCATGTGATATGTCAACTACATGTATCCTACCATGAGTTTGCGTTCTTTATTTGACCAGGTTTAAGTCCGGACATCCTGGACGGACAGGGTAGCGACACTATGCTGGCAGGCTTGGTATGGCAACAGTGGCATTCATACGCAGAAAAGGAAAAAAACAAAGGTAATATATATCTCAAATTCATCACAAATTTTCTATTTTTGAATCCAAAGTATAGTTTTGCTTGATACACTGAATTCATCTGTTTACTTGACAAATATAATAAATGATAAAAAGTAAACGAATACACATTTACAATAGAAACATTCACTCTGATTTTGGCACCGTTAATAAATACCGTAAATAATAAATAAGGTGATCGCTGACGGATTATCGCGTGTTTTCTTGAAGATTCCCAACGCCATATTGTTCGTGCTAAAGGCCCGGATGTTGTCCTGTGTTTAGACACTTCTCAGAGCATGGAAGGAGCGCCGTTTGAGGAAATGATGTCATTTGCAATGAAATACGTCGAAGGTTTGCTTTCCTGTTCAAGATTCATGTTTTTTTAATATACCTTTTTCATATTTGTATTGTAGATTCCTTGCGTCATAATTGGAGTTATTATTCTGTAAATATCTTACATCAGTAATTATGAAATTCGCCCCTTCATATACATCCAGAAAACTTTGTTATGTGTGCAGTTTCGAATTCAGGGGCAGGTAAATTGGACACCGTAAAGTGGTTTATAGTAGTTTATAGATGGAATATCTCTTGGTACATGTAAAATTCATTTTTCTATGAGGATAAGGACGTTATATGTTTTTATTTCCGTGCAGTATCCATTATCTGTTAAAATCAATATTTGATCCGTCGCTTCTGCTTATATGGATGTCATCTAATGGCGTCTATGCTGTCTGAGTCATTATGATGACATTTAACCCTTTAGTTGTGTATATATATAAATAGACGGCTTTGAACTTCCTGTACTGATTTATTTTTGTCGACAGATGCTTTTTATACATTAAGTATTTTTCTATTCGCTACAGGGGTTGAGCAGTGGGCAAGTATGATTGATTTACACGAGAATATATCCGTCACTACTTTCGGATATATTACCAAAGTCTGGCATCACTTGACGTCTGATTACGATGCTGTTAAAGCAACACTACGTAAGGAATTTAAAAGTGCGCTATTCGCTCTGATAATGCACAATATTGTAGTACACTGTTTTGCCGTGTAAAAAATATGATCGAAACAAGTCAGCACATATTTATTACATATCAAAACGATTTATTGTTTTTATAGGACTTGAACAATAGAAAGTGCATGGGATAACTTTGAGCTATATTTGAAATAATTTTAGCACAATTTCATTGAAATGGTGATTTGACCAATAAATGTTCTTAGCTCCTATCTAATTTCCCAGTTTATATAGTATAGACTAATGTGGCTGTTGTGTTCTTTTGTCAGGAAAAATCTGGTCCCTCATTCCAAGGGGTCGAAGTCCAATAGCTGGCGGCTTACTTGTGGCCCTTGCTGGTTGTCTGGGCAATGGTAAATATTCAAAATCTACATGTATCAATAACGATCGTGATTGTTATAAAATTAACAGCTTGCCCTTTCTGATTAAATGATGTATTTCAGGCAAAGCCAATCTTACTCTCAATATGTTCTGTTTCTCCTAGCTGATGGAATTATCGTGGGGAATATCCCAGTTTTGGCACGAATCATCCTGGTGTCTGACGGTAAGGGTACGCCTGACCATATAAAGACAGGACCAGAGCTCGTGAGGACACAGGATGAAGACATGCGCTCTAGCTTACGGGTATCTATTTATAGCTTTGATACATTTTCCTTGGCTTGTAATTTTTTTTTATTTCCTTTGAATTTAGATTAATGATTCTGACGATTTTGTTTACAATTATTAATATTGCTTAAGTAACCAGTCTAATTTGAGATATCATGATCATGTGACGGTACGGAACCGGATCGAACAAAACCGCTGTTGTCATTTCTGTTCTAGATCACTAAAGCTTTGCACAGTGATATTGTTACCGGAGAACCTAATGATTCATTATTGCAGATGGTAAACATGTCAGTGAAAGGGATGTTTTAATGCAGATCAAGTAATCGACAACAGTACCATTATGTCATTTGTATCAATCTTTAATTTATGTAGTTTTAACGCTTTACCGGCTAACCATAACTTTAATAAGGATTTAAATGTTTTGGGTTTATTAAACAACAAAATGCTGCCTACAATGTAAGCGTATTCTAACTAGGTCTACGTCGAAAAAAACATTAAATGCGTGAACGTCAAAATGTAATACAACTCGTTGTTTTGAAAACTGTTTGTGCAATGAAGCTGTTTAATGATGGCGACCTTACCAACTGTGTCAGTGTTAGAAGTGTGTAATTTAAAATAAACTTTCATATTTACAGGTAGACGGGAATCTTCAACACGTGTCAAAGAATTTGAAAAAACGAAAAAACATGGTGTGTTGCGTACCAGTAGGAAATGCAAACACGGTATGTATAGCTTTCATGGAGGTTTAAATCTGAATAGGTATTGCAGTGTATACTCAAAGTGAAAACAAAAATAGGACAGAAACATTATATCAATATAGTATTTCATTGTTATGAGTGTTATCACTCAATACTCACAGCTTTGTTTGTGCTTATATGAACGGCTACATCAGGGAGCGTTATATTGCAGCCTATGTATGAACATATATTTATTACATCCTTACCTAATCGTATGATAAAATGTAATATAAAAATCGTTTCATTTGAGATTTATTAAAACAAAATTCAGGATTTTTTCATTTCGTTAGCCCAAATGAAAAGTTATAATTTTCGTTTATTAAATTTTATAAATAGAAACTGATGTAAGACGATTTTATGTTTAAATATATATCAAAGTACGTTCCATATCAAGTATAGCAAAAAAAATATGAAAATGTATTTATTTGATTAAACCATTGTCAAACTAACTGTTCAGTAAATCTAGTAAACACCCTGTCGAACATTCTATGTATGAAATATTATAAACACACTATTTCAGAAAACTTTGGAAGAGATTTCGAAAATAACTGGAGGAAAAGTGTTTGGACCCTCAAAACGTGACCGATTGGTGAAATGGTCCAGACTGACAGTAAGTGTATTCAGTTATACTATAAACCTGACACAATTGAATATGACGTAAAATGTAGGCAAGGTCGTTATTTCGATGGACGTAACACACACACAGGTGATATGCATCCTAGATACAGCATGCCAAACATGAACTACACTGTATCATAATGACTTTATACTAGTAGTTAATCGAAGACAGTAAACTGGTTATGGGTTGTATATGTTTAAGCATTGAACTGCTTTCAGTTGGCATTCATAGGCAATATGAATGCCATCTGGACAAAGGTAAATTCAGGGAAGCTCGCTAGCCCTTCATGTTGGATTTGCCTTTGGACAGTTGAAATTCATACTGCCTATGCATGCCAACTGAAAGCGGTTCAATACTTATATTTACCAATTTTGGAATCTGTTCATCTCATAGAAAATTCAATTACACTAATTTAGCATTTACAAACAAAAATTGTAGTTCAAATAATGTATGTATCGTGTGTGCCTGTTCAATGAATAGAACAGCCATCACCAAGGGAGTGTCAGTAGTATCCAACGTAACAATTATGACGTCATAATAATGATGACGTCAACAATCGGCCTATGGCATTCATAGCCTATATGAATGCTAACTGAATTTGGTAGGGTTATATAGTGGCAGTGCCATAAAATGGTAAATATATTATTTTGTGTTACGTTTCCATTCGTTTATATGTAGGAGTTATCACCCCTACTATTACGTTGTTAGTATTTTTTGTTCATTTTAATGTATCTTTGTAAATTAATTACGTGCTTTTTCAGTAATGATTTGGTCAAATTTGCTAGCCGCTCGTGGAAGGAATCTATATAGACTTACCAGCTATTCAATCAATTTGACTATTGAAGTTTTGTCAAGGAAATATGTTGTTATAAAACTCCTGAAACAAAATGACAGTAAGCTTAGGCAGACTATTTATTTCTCTGATACAACATGACAGTAAGCTTAGGTAGATTATTTATTTCTCTGATACGAAATGACAGTAAACTTAGGCAGACTATCTATTTCTCTGATACGAAATGACAGTAAACTTAGGCAGACTATCTATTTCTCTGACACAAAATGACAGTAAACTTAGGTAGCTTTTTATTTCTTTGACACAAAATGACAGTAAACTTGGGCAGACTATTGATTTATCTGATACAAAATGACAGTAAGCTTAATCCGACTATTTATTTCTCCGATAAAAAATGACAGGAAGCTTAGGCAGGCTATTTTTTTCTCTGACACAAAATGACAGTACGCTTAGTCAGGCTAATTTGTTCTCTGACACAAAATGACAGTAAGCTTAGGCAGACTATTCATTTCTCTGATACAAAATGACAGTAAGCTTAATCCGACTATTTATTTCTCCGATAAAAAATGACAGGAAACTTAGGCAGGCTTTTTTTTTTCTCTGACACAAAATGACAGAAAGCTTAGGCAGACTATCTATTTGTCTGATACAAAATGACAGTACGCTTAGGCAGGCTATTTTTTTCTCTGACACAAAATGACAGTAAGCTTAGGCAGACTAATTATTTCTCAGACACAAAATGACAGTACGCTTGGACAAACTATTTATTTCTCTGTCCTTGCTATGTCACGGAAAGACACAAAGTTTTTCTCTTTACGAAGACTTTACAGTAAATTAGGCAACATAAACAGTTTTTCTTGAATATTTTGACAGCACATTCAGACAATCTTATCATTATCCTAACGCAATGCTACGCTTATTCTCAGGTATATAGTATTTTGCGTTCTTAAAAAAACGAAGACGATTTCTTTCTAAAATTCTTTTAGCGTGCAAAAGAAGGAAATAATTTTGCATCGACTATTAAATACTCATCAGCTGCCATTGGTTGTTTCCAGATCCTAGCCGCCGATATGTGTAAGAAATCTATGGATTTAACTGAAGGCAAGAGTCCCGGGGAGATACATTCGGTACTTCAGCTTTCCATGGGCATGCATATGCTCTCAGAATCAGAGGAGGACAAGGTACACTATTCACTTTGGGCCAACAGTATGTTTGGAGGCTACAATATAACATATATTGTGTCTTAAGACCTTAATAGTTATCATGTCACCGAGTCTCTAGGTCGTGTACAAAATTCAAGTTCAAATATTTTATTTTCGTGTCAGACACATAGTATTCATAAAATCACAATACATATATACAATTGAATATAAAATGTGTCTAGCCAAAATGACTTATTAGACACGTTATAAGAACAATCACACTATTTACTTTTAAAAGTATCTTCAAACATGTAATGTTAATAACCAGTTTTTGAAAAAAAAAATTAGGCTTGATACGATTTTATTTGTAGCAGGACTATAATTTCCATGTATATATAATACCATGTACCCCAACAGGGTAAGAGATATACAAGAGTGGTTGGGCCTATCCCCACCGCATAATTATATATCCCCAACCCCATACATGCACATCTAATTATTATACATAATTTAATATGGGAGAAACATAGTTCTTCTCCTCAGCATAAGAAAAAGTTGGGTAGCTAGTGTCTTTTGGAGAACTGGTTCACACATCACATAACTGTTCAAATTTGTTCATATCATTAAAAAAAAATATTCATTGTTTGCTTTCGTTAAATTTACAGATCTAAGATCATCATAAAATATACATTCCATTAAAAAATTATACTTGTTTTCTACATCATTATTGCACAATTTACATAATCTATTATTGACAGGAATCACAGGTCGGGCATGCCTACCTTTTTCAATTTCAAGGGGCAAAGAGCCACATCTAAAGTTAAATAAAATTATGTACACAGGGGCTGATGCAGGTGATAATACGATTATGTACACAGGGGCTGATACATGTGATTATACGATTATGTACTCAGGGGCTGATACGGGTGATAATAAGATTATTTATTACATACTTACTGATTAATACGTTTTTTTTTTGTATATGCGATACGACACAATTGCTCTAACCCATATCAGCCCTCACCGTATCACACCCCAAAACCCGTATCAGCCCCAGCCGTATCACCCCCCGAAACCCGTATCAGCCCGCAAAACCCATATCACACCCTTTTTGGAAAAAAACTCGTTTTTCAATATGTCAAAAATAAAAATAAATCAGAAGTTAGTAGTTTTTATTGGTAAATATGTAATAAACAGAATAAAACACGCCTTTTTCCATATCACACCCAGTATCAACCCTCGACCAATATAAGCCCTCGGGCCTTCGGCCCTTGGGCTGATATTGCAGTCTCGGGTTGATATTGGGTGTGATATGGAAAAAAGGCATGTATTATTCTCTATGTATAAGGGGCTGATCAGGTTATAACAGGATTATGTACACATGGTCTGATACAGGTGATAATAAGATTATGTACACAGGGGCTAATACAGGTGATAATCAGATTATGTACACAGGGGCTGATACAGGTGATAATAAGATTATGTGCACAGGTGCTGATATATGTTATTATGCAATTATGACATGGTTTTACACAGGGGCTGATACAGGTGATAATAAGATTATGTGCACAGGGGCTGATATATGTTATTATGCAATTATGACATGGTTTTACACAGGGGCTGATACAGTGATTGATAGAATCTTCCCCTTCTTGGAAGGTGTGAAAGAGAAATCACCCCGGGGGTTGGATATTTCTCTGTTACACCCTTTAGGTAGGGGACGATTATTTGTTGTCTCATCCTTTTATTCCAGTCACAACTCCACCGTCAGTAGTGTAAACGAAAACACATGTGGGGTATGAATATCGTCATTTACATTTGATGACGTCACAAATACCGGTGAAAAATTTCAATGACGTCACAGTTGAACACGTGCTAATCGGAACGAGGCTATCTCCTCCAAGAGGGTCACAAACTGATCTTAAAATACGATGATGACGTGCTTTTATACAGGGGCTGATACAATGATATCAATATTATGACATGGTTTTACACAGGGGCTGATACAATGATATCAAGATTATGACATTGTTTTACACTGGGGCTGATAAGGTGATATCAAGATTATTTCAAGGTTTAACAATGGGGCTGATACAGGATATCAAGGTTATGACATGGTTTTACACTGGGGCTGATAAAGGTGATATCAAGAATATGTCAAGGTTTAACACAGGGGCTGATACAGGATATCAAGGTTATAACATGGTTTTACACAGGGGCTGATACAGGATATCAAGATTATGACATGGTTTTACACAGGGGCTGCTACAGGATATCACGATTATGACATGGTTTAACACAGGGACTTGTACAGTGATATCAAGATTATGACAAGGTTTAACACAGGGGCTGATACAGGATATCAAGATTATGACATGGTTTTACACAGGGGTTGCTACAGGATATCACGATTATGACATGGTTAAACACAGGGACTTGTACAGTGATATCAAGATTATGACAAGGTTTAACCCAGGGGCTGATACAGGATATCAAGGTTATGACAAGGTTTTACACAGGGGCTGCTACAGGATATCAAGAGACTGACATGGCTTTACACAGGTGTTGATACATGTGATATTAAGATCATGACGTGGTTTTACACGGGGGCTGATACAGTGATATTAAGATTATGACATCGTTTGCCCAGGCCTGATATAGGATATCAAGACTGTGACATGATTTTACACTGGGGCTGATACAGAATATCAAGCTCCTGACGTGGTTTTGCACAGGTGTTGATACAGGTGATATTAGGATTATGACATGGTTTTACACAGGGGTTGATACAGTTATTTTAAGGTTATGACATGGTTTAACACAGGTGCTGATACAGGATATCAAGATTATGACACGGTTTAACACAGGGGCTGTTACAGGATGTCAAGATCATGACGTGGTTTGTCACAGGGGCTGATACAGTGATATTAAGATCCTGACGTGGTTTTACACAGGGCTGATACAGGATATCAAGATTGTGACATGGTTTTACACAGGGTCTGATACAGTGATATTAAGATTAATACATGGTTTAACACAGGGGCTGATACAGTGATATAAAGATAATGACATGGTTTAACACAGGGGCTGATACAGTGATATTAAGATTAATACATGGTTTAACACAGGGGCTGATACAGTGATATAAAGATAATGACATGGTTTTACACAGGGGCTGATACAGTGATATTAAGATTAATACATGGTTTTACACAGGGGCTGATACATGTGATTTAAAGAAAATGACATGGTTTTACACAGGGCCTGATACAGGTGATTGATAGAATCTTCCCCTACCTGGAAGGCGTGAAGAATAAATCACCCCGGGAGTTGGAGATTTCTCTGTTACACCCTTTAGGTAGGGGATGATTATTTGTTCTCTCATCCTTTTATTTCAGTCACGACTCCACCGTCAGTAGTGTAAACGAAAACACATGTGGGGTATGAATATCGTCATTTATTTTTGATGACGTCACAATTACCGGTGAAACATTTCAATGACGTCACAGTTGAACACGTGCTAATCGGCACGAGGCTATCTCCTCCAAGAGGGTCACAAACTGATCTTAAAATACGATGATGAAGTGCTTTTATACAGGGGCTGATACAGGATATCAAGACTGTGACATGGTTTTACACAGGGGCTGATACAGGATATCAAGATTATGACATGATTTTACACAGGGGGAGATACAGGATATCAAGATTATGACATGGTTTTAAACAGAGGCTGCTACAGGATATCAAGATTCTGACATGGCTTTACACAGGTGTTGATACATGTGATATTAAAATCATGACGTGGTTTTACAAAGGGGCTGATACAGTGATATTAAGATTATGACATGGTTTGCAAAGGGCTGATACCGGATATCAAGACTGTGACATGGTTTTACACAGGGGCTGATACAGGATATCAAGATTATGACATGGTTTCACACAGTGGCTGATACAGTTATATTATGGTTATGACATGGTTTTACACAGGGTCTGATACAGGTGATATCAAGATTATAACACGGTTTAACACAGGGGCTATTACAGGATATCAAGATCATGACGTGGTTTTACACAGTGGCTGTTACAGTGATATTAAGATCATGACGTGGTTTTACACAGGGCTGATACAGGATATCAAGATTATGACATGGTTTTACACAGGGGCTGATACAGGGATATTAAGATCCTGACCTGGTTTTACACTGGGGCTGATACAGGTGATATTAAGATCCGGACGTGGTTTTAAACAGTAGCTGATACAGGTGATATTACGATCATGATGTGGTTTTACACAGGGACTGATATAGGTGATATTAAGATCCTGACGTGGTTTTACACAGAGGCTGATACAGTGATATTAAGATCCTGACGTGGTTCTACACAGGGCTGATATAGGATATCAAGATTATGACATGATTTTACACAGGGGCAGATACAGTGATATTAAGATCCTGACGTGGTTTTACACAGAGGCTGATACAGTGATATTAAGATCCTGACGTGGTTTTACACTGGGGCTGATACAGGTGATATTAAGATCCTGGCGTTGTTTTACACAGGGGCTGATACAGGTGATATTAAGATCCTGACGGGGTTTTACACAGGGGCTGATACAGTGATATTAA